TGCTCAACTAAGTAAAATAGAAACAATAGATCTGTATTTAATTTTTCGCTCAATGTTAAAGGTTATACTAGAGTTGTACATTTACAGGGCAAAGCTAAAAAAAATTGCACGTTGTTGTGTCCTTAAGCAAAACACTTCCCCCACATTGCATAGAATGAGTGTGTATGTGAATGGTTGGTGGTGGTTGGAGGGGCCAATGGCACATACTGGTTGCCTCGCTTCTGTCAGTGTGCCCCAGGGCAGCTATGACTAAGTAGTTTATCACCCCAGTGTATGGAGTGAAAGAATAACGATATGTGAAGCGTCTTTGAGTTTCCAAAAAGGCGCTATATAAAAACCGCCGCGTCACTCGCAGTCCTTAGTCTTGCAGGTTAAGTATAGACTTGATAGATTTGTTCAGAGGATGTCCATTTCTCTTTGATTTATATTAGTAAAAGCTTTTAAGTGACCAATTCCCTTTTACTGTCCATAGTGTGCGTAAGTGGCCATTGTGTATTGATTTTGAAAACAGATAGAAAGAGGCATGAGTGGGCTCCCTGCACAAAGAAGAGGAGGACAATTGAATAGAACAATGTGATGTCACAGCAAGAGGTGGGCATTATATAAAAAAATGTTGTTTTGAGGATATGGACAATTTTCCGTTTTGGTGTATTTTATTGTCAACATTAACTAATGGAACCTTTATGGTAAAAAGCCCTTTTAGTTGCTTCATTTAAAGGTGCCATATTTCACAGTCCATCCTACTGTATGCACATGTCATGTGTGATAATAATATGGGTGATACACCATACAACACTCAAAACACGTCAAATTATAGCCATTTCGTGCATAGGTGATCTCAGCTCATGTGAAACGGTTGGATCAGTGCTCCTCTGTCTGTGAGCCCACTTCCCCCCACCCGCACAGTGACGTAGCATCACGCTAAGTTCCGGGGTAAACAAGAGCTGACTGTACAGCTTTCGCTGTTACAGTCATTTCACAACTGAGAATAAACTTTTTCCAACAATGGCAACCCGTCACGTAGAGCCCTATGTCCTCGATCCAGAACCAGACTCTAATTATTTAGTTCATAGTGACATACGGCAAGTTAGCATCACAGTACTCACAGAGGCTCCCGTTAGCGTCTTTTATGTTGGAAATAACACATGTTTCCAGATCAGCCCTTGAGTAGGTCCCGTTTCACGGTAACTGTAGTTCTGGAACAGTCTTTGGTGGTGTCACTGTCACTCGCAAAAAAACATCTGTGAGTTTTGTTGCCAATTTCAGACTCGCGGATACAAGACAGATATCTCCGTGAACAAAGTCGACCCCCATTCTCCGTCATTGGCCAAATACTGTCGTCACATATTTACACCAACAACACATTTTCTCCAAGTTGACATGAAGCTAACACAAAAAAGCACAGACGCTTATTTACAGTCTATGGAGCAGACGCTGGACTCGGAGAGAGGCTGCATGGGCTGACCATAGACGGCGCTGATTCACTGGTTCAGTTTCTCCTCGCTGTCAATCAGTGACGCTTTTGACGTCATGGATTGTGCCACCTCACAATTTGAATCAGCTGGTTTCTGTGCCTCTCGAGAATGAAAGAGAAAGATCGCTCTCTAACTAAAGCTTGACGGAATCAATGAAAGAACTACTCTGGGCATGTGTATGAAGCATAGACTGTATATATTAATGGACAGAGTCACGCCTATCTCCGCCGTTCTAACTAATGGGCCAAAAAATGTGCTCTACTGGAGCAATCCAAAATGGCCGCGAGTGGTCCCGCCCACAAGAAAATTGTGAAAAAACGCATCTGCACAAGCTTCAGCCGGCACAGCTCCATTCATTTGAACGAGAGACTTCAAAGATTCACACCAAGTAAACTAGACTGGACCAAAAAAATCCACCCCCCTCAGCATTGACACACATGTGGAACGGAGCTTTGGGCCAAGAGCCAACTTTTGGTCCATCCTGTAAAGACGTTTTTGAGAGGTCTGCCAATGCTATATGTTAGCATTGGCTAATTCTACTTCTGGGTCCACCCCCATCGGCCCGGGGTGGTATTGCAAGCATGTCAGCGCACGTCATTTTGGGCACTTTTGAGCTGGGACCCTCCCCCACTGGTATGAAGGCCAGAGAAACCAGAGAAAAGTCAAAAAGTGTAATATGGGCCCTTTAAAACACTGAAAAGTGTACTTGAATGCAATATTCTGATACTATTATATTATATTATATACTGATATCTTTTATTACAAATAAAAGAGTAAACTAAAGACATGGAAAACGAAAAAAGGTCCTATATTATTATTAATTTAAATCAGAGCTTCTTGGGCCTTTTTGTATTCCTTTTCCACATTATTTCCCCACGTATCCTTTTTTAACATGTTTTGATCCCTGCACTCGCTCCTCTTGTAAACTTGACTTTCTCATTGGACAGTCTTCTTGCATCCTCATTGTCTCTTTGTGATTTGTTTGGTGATACTGTCTCTGTAAAGCACTTTGAGTTGCAGCCCTGGATTAAATGGGCTTTACCTGTATAAATAATATGCTGTGTTCTTGTTTAGTCGTAACCTTTTTAAGACTTTTTCTTCCTCTTTTTTAATGGTTTAGTGTGCATTAATGAACAGCCGATGCAGCACCTACACTTGATCATAGCCTTGGAATAAATTTTCGCCCATAGTTGCAGTCATACACAAACACTGATTCACCCTGACCATGTTTTAGTGTTGGGGTAACCAGGAGTAACCGGAGGAAACCTACGTAGACAAAGTTAAAACATGCAAATCCCTCTGTCTGGCCCATTTGAACAAACAATCTATCATATTTATATTTATAAAGCACAATTCATACAGTGTAACCCAAAGTCCTTCACAAGCAATTAAAAACAGACAAAATCATAACGAACAATGCAGATACATGTAATTACTACCTTCAAGCTGGGAAGCCTGAGCGCAGAATCCACTGTACCAGTCGAAACACTCAAAATTCAACAAATAGTAATCATGTTGTAGAAACTGCTCTTTTGAGTGACTTGTAAATGGGATTTCTTGTGTTGTTAATCCATGTTGCACAAGCAAATGAATCCAGCTCTTCCCTAAATGCCTCGAGCCATGTCAGCAGTGACGTAATGGCATCGGTCCTGGCCTTCTTTGCCTTTTGGATTACGGACATGCTGTCGCTCTCCCCGAAACAGAAGCAGACCGGAGCATCAACTACTCATATCTGATGAGTTTTTGTAATTAGGAGGACTACTCCAATATGTGTGTATCAGCAGGGCCAATAATCACATCAATCTTTATCTCAGATTATTCTATCGATCCAACAACAATAAATAGATTTGGTTCTGGTCAAATATTCAAATATAGTAAGTTGATAAATACTTAGAGGTCAGGTCTGATTTTGGATTGGATTACTTTATCATAACATGTTATAAATTTAGCCAATGCAGTCTCTCATCATTCACTAGTAGCAATATATATATATATATATATATATATATATATATATATATATATATATATATATATATATATACTACCGTTCAAAAGTTTGGGGGTCACATTGACCCTTATTTTTGAAGGAAAAGCACTGTAGATAACTTTAAACTAGTCTTAACTGTAAAGAAATACACTCTATACATTGCTTATGTGGTAAATGACTATTCTAGCTGCAAATGTCTGTTTTTTTGGTGCAATGTTGTAATTGCTGCAAATGGAGGATTCTTTGACGAAAGCAAAGTTGGATGTAAAACAAATCTTATTTCAAATACAAATTATTATTTCTAACCTTATCAATGTCTTGACTTTGATTTTCTATTAATTTCACAACGTATGGTGGTGAATAAGTGTGACTTTTCATGGAAAACACTTGGGTGACCCCAAACTTTTGAACGGTAGTGTATATATAATATATACATATATGTATATATATGTCTTGTGATGCACATGTTACATTGGACCTCAATGAGATTACTCAGGGCAGGCAAATAGTCAGGAAATGTTTGCTCAGTTTAAAATATATAAGGCATCTTATGTACACAAAAGGAATATTATGGCAGGTTGTCAATTAGTGACTTGTAGTACAGATGAAGGTCCCTGCATTCACTGAAAATAGTTTTAACCTTCATAATCCTTTCATAATGCACTTAATACTTTTGCGAATGCAAACTAAAATAGATTTGAGTGATCTAAACTATTATTAACAGCTAAATATCTTACTTTTGGTACAATCTGTTCTCTAACACAGTCTGAAACACAACAGGATATGCATTGACAAAATAACATCACAAATAATAGGAACTAGAATACACTTGAAACATATTGGCATCAACCTATAAATCCAATCCATATCCTATTACTACAAAATGTCACTACTAGCCCATATCTGCACTGACCCTGCTATAAAAGGCTTGCAGTGACCATCCGAGTCTCAGCAGTGTGTTGTGTGCATAAACCAGGCCAGTGTCACACACCCCCAGGCGAGAGGCAACTACAGAGACAGGCCCCATACCCCTCGCATCATCATCATCATCATTCGTGGTTTCCTGCATCCTTCCCGCTCCATCACTGCTGCAACATCCTGATCAACATCTATAACAGAAGACGACAAAGCACGCAACGTATACGTGGCTGAAGCGAAATAGGTGGTTAAATGAGCAATCCTGGGATAAGATGGCTAGAGAGAGAGAGAGAGAGAGAGGGGAGAAAGGAGAAAATCCCAAGATAGCATAAGCCCCATGTTATAGGCCAAGCATCCCTTCTTCCACACGGCTAAGGAGCAAATTAGCCCAAACAACTGCAACATTACGCGCCTGTGTGTCCCCGGCTCGATCACATTTACGTATATTTGGTGTGGACGCGATTCCATTCGGGAAAACTGAAATTAGCCCGGTATATTGCAGCCATATCCGTACAGGCCTCGCTGCTCACTACCAGCCCGGATTGAAGCGACGCTAAATCATCCAGCTATATATATTTATATTTTTAATTTTAACTATAACATCTCTCACCTCGTAAATGTCACATGCGGAGGATGGCTGGGGTTGTTGTGGTCTCGTCCATCTGTTCGGACGCGGGGTGATGGTGGTGGTGCTGGTGGAGGCGGCAGCATCAGCATCAGCAGCAGCAGCAGCAGCGCAGTCTGGTCCGCTCGGTACGATGATGCTGATGCCCCGCCCTCCTCTCCCTCCCCTCTCCTCTGCAGCCCGAGCTCACGCACCGACCGGGAAGCACCAGTCTGTGGACATCCAAGCTAAAAATAAAGATTGATTGATTGATGAAACGAAAACAAAGGAAATAAATATATAAGTGGATTACATGATGCTATAGTCCTAGATTATACTCTCTCTCTCTATTTATTTTTCAATGTTTTAGGTTGTAACTCTTCATGTTTATTTATTCATGTACCTTGATGTTTTTGTTTTATTGAATTATAATCCTTGGCATTTTAAGGTTTCGTGGAATAAGAATCTCTTAATCGTAATCAATATGGAACTTCTGCCACAACCTTGCTCTGGCTCCTCTGTCTAGCTCTAGTCTAAAAGCTGTCATGGAATGATGCGCACCAACACATACCCGATTAATGCTTTTGCCTGATGAAGAGCACTATTTATCCTATTTATTCTTTACAAGATTGGTCTTCAAGCATTGACAATGACCTCTGTACATAATCAGCGACTGAGAGACATGACAGTAACGGGCATTGGTTTTCTTTCACTAATGAATAAGTAGGCTATGATTATCTGTGCAATAATGTTTTGATGAATTATGTGAACGTTATTTGTTTAAGAAAATATAAATACAATAGAAAAAACACTACATAATTTTACAAAATCACAGCAGACGGAACAAAAATAATGAAATCTTTCGAAATAGTGTAGTTATTGTAGTAAATTAAAATGTACTAAAAAGTCTGTAAACGTCTATGTGTACACCATGGATCAAGTGTATAAAGATAGGCCTGCTGCCACCTTGTGGTGGAACTGATATGACTATTGTTTTTATCCGACTACTTTGGGAGATAAGTTATGCAGGCTAAAAGACCAAAACAGTTAACCATGTTTAATGTGTCAGTCACGTAGACTGGAACAGCACCGCCTCTCATATGCTTAGTCTGACACCCGCCCCCCGCCCCCCGCCCCCTGGACGCAGCCTCTGGGTTAAAAACTTTCAGGCTTTGTCTGTTTCCTCTATTATCTGAAGAGATTGCTGAGGATAGCCTTGACTGCGTTTTCACCAGGGTCATAGTGGCAGCTTAGTTTAATTATTTTTCACCCATAGACTTGTTTTATTCTTGCTGTAGATACTAAGCAAGAATATCCAAATTGATAGTAATAGACAATGACTAAACATCGAAATAGACACGCAGGAGCAGTGACTATTCCAAATGGATGCACAGAGAAAGCTAATATCCCACATTCTCGGGGATACTGGGGAAACAAAGCGGAGTTTATTCTCACAGTAATGGGGGCCATCATCGGCCCTGGGAACGTCTGGAGGTTTCCTTATCTGTGCTACAGAAACGGAGGAGGTGGGTTCAGTGTCCGGTACACTGTGTATGTGCATTGAGTTTATTGGGACATCTGTCTTTTGGTTGCGGCAGGTGTTTTCTTTATTCCCTACATTCTGTTCATCTTCACCTGCGGGATCCCCCTGTTTTTCCTCGAGACTGCGCTTGGACAGTACACCAACCAGGGCGGCATCACGTGCTGGAAAAAAATATGTCCAATTTTTCAAGGTAAATTCTAATAACTATCACCTTTATTAACTAACATAATTTCCTTTTCTTAATGTTAAGAAGCTGTGCATATACGCATGAGGCAGCAAGTACACTGACCATTATGACATCACTAAACATGGGGAGGCTGCTTTTCAGATTCATGCTGCTAAAATCTGGAACAATCTTCCTGAAGATGTGAGACAGGCCTCCTCTCTGACAATGTTTAAGACAAGGTTGAAAACAGTTCTGTTTAGCTGTGCATACAACTGAGGGATTTTATATTTTTATCTTTCTTTTTAATGTTCTGTGATTATTTATGATTTTAATGCTTTTTTGTTTTGTTCCTTGCCTTGTGTATGAATTGTGCTATACAAATAAACTTGCCTTGCCTTACTGACACATCTTCACTCTCTAACACATCTTTACTCTGTGTCTCTCATCGCAGGAGTGGGCTATGCCAGTCATTTGATTATTTCATTCAGTGCCACTTCTTACGTCATCATAATGGCGTGGGCCTTCTTCTACTTGTTTGCGTCCTTTAGCGCAGACCTTCCGTGGGCCTCGTGTGGACATGAGTGGAACACAGGTGTGAACTTTAACCCTTGTTTCAAACAAATAATATCTTTTAAACAGGCTATACAAGTAGTAAAACGTCCATACCTTTACTTACCCAAATATGAAGCAACCCCTTATGGATGTGCCAGTACTGAATTTGAATCCATTTTGTATTTTTTTGTCAGCCAATATAAAACCTTTACATGAACGTAATTAATGTATTGGAGTCTGGGGTGGAACAGTTTGAATTCCTCTTTCTCTGAAAAATAAAATTGCAAAAATGTTTATGGAATTTACATGGGTATTTAAGGGCCCCAAATCTCTAGAAAGCTCCAAAGAATTCTCAGACAGATTCAAAATATTAGAGAACAAACGTTGGTGTCATAAGTAAAAGAAATGAAATCCCTCTGATTTGATTTTTGTATTTAATATTGTCTTATGACCTAAATATTCAGAAGACTTTTGAAGCACATTATTGATTAACACTGTAATGTGTTTTCTCTTGTTTTTACAGCGAACTGTTTTGATGTTGGTCAGTCTAACACGAGCTTGGAAACAATACACAAACAAAACACCACTCTCCCAGTCGTTGAGTATTGGCAGTAAGCAAAATCTTAAAGATATCCTGTACTCCTCTTTCATCTTAAACACTTTTGTCTTACATTCAGTCAAGCAGTCATTTTAATTAGTCATTCTAAGAATTTCACATTTTTGTAAAAAAAGGTTCTTCCACATCTGTTTCTGTTCCCAGTGGTTGTGTCCTGGGCTGAACCCGTGGTCACGTTTATTATTCTGTTGACAGGCACCGGGTGTTGAAGATATCCTCAGGCATCGAGGACGTGGGGAGTCTGAGATGGGAGCTTGTCCTCTGCCTCATTCTGACTTGGGTCATCTGCTATTTTTGTGTCTGGAAAGGCATCAAGTCCACTGGCAAGGTCAGAAGATCCTTGGGGCAGAGTTTCAGATGGGCAGAAGGGCATAAGATAAGATATTCTTATCTTCAGATGAGTTTCAGATGGGCAAGAAGTTCAATGGGCAGAAGTTCAATTTGGGGACTGATGACAATATTCTGGATAATTGTTGGTTGTATCATACAATATACAGTGAAAACCGGAAGTTTAGCTATACAAAAAGGCTTTTAATAAAACCAGAAATGTCCTGCTGAGTTTTTGGTCTATTTCCAAAAGGGTTCTGGCCTCAGAGGAGTGAAGCCTTTTGTACACTTAGTGGAAGGTGAAACCTGTGCCGCCCTGGAGTCAGAACCAGGACCCCTCTGAAAGTTAATCATCATTAAACTTGTTTTTTTAATAGCCTACCTAAAACAGGTGAGGGTGACTAAATTAAATGTATTTTTACGTATTGTAAACTCCTAGTGTTTGCTGTAAGTTCAAATCTATGAAATTGCAAGACCCGGCCAACAGCATCACATAGCCGTTCAACCAATGTATCATCTGAACACTTAGCTGATACAATTTTGCTTTTAATATAAAAAGCAAAATTAGCATTGGTGTGTTTAATATTTTCTTAATGTCAAAGATATACAAGTATCTCTGGAGAGTTCTTTGATTTTCCAGCAGATACACTAAATAGTTGAGTAATTCAGCTGATCTAATTTCCACAAGAATTTGCCCAGTAGGCTGATAGACTATTGCAGAAAAAAAAAACTAATACATTAATTAGATAAGCATAATGGCTTGTCAAATTGTCTACTGCTGAAACTACCAGTATTCAGTTTCACTTAACTGCTCGTAACGCATTTTCAAACAAAATGAATGTAATTTGGGGATGTCTTATTTATAGGCGGCGTACTTCACAGCGACCTTCCCCTATGCAATGCTGCTTATCTTACTGATCCGAGGTGTGACTCTGCCTGGAGCTATCGATGGGATTATTTACTACCTCTACCCAGACATCTCACGCCTCTCTGATGCACAGGTTGTAGCAAGCTGTCAAAGTAATATATTGTGTCAATAAAATTACATGGCTTAACATAGTCTGTCTGTAGGTGTGGATGGATGCTGGGACGCAGGTTTTCTTCTCTTATGCCATTGGAATGGGTTTCTTAACTTCACTTGGAAGCTACAACACCTTCAAAAATGATTGTTACAAGTGGGTATAATTGCTATGCTGTGCTTAATCCATCACTTGCATTTTTAAAGGTGATGTCAGCACTGTAGTATTGTGTACAGTAGGTATATCTTTACCCCAAAAATAACATTAAAAATAATCTTTCCTCTTGGCAAAACTGCGATCAGTAAGATTCGCTGGAGGAGAATAGTTAGTGGGGCCAAGACTCAGTGGGTAAGAGGGAATACTTCTTGTGGTTAATAGTTTTCTTTAAATATTCCAGGGATTGCTTCTACCTGTGTCTTCTAAACAGCGCGACCAGTGTTGTGGCTGGTTTTGCAATTTTCTCTGTTTTGGGATTCATGACTTATGAAACCGGACTGGACATTGCTGAAGTGGCAGAATCAGGTGAGTCGTTGAATTGCCATCTGGGAATTTTGCCAGAGCAGATTATGTGATAAAGTTGTATTAAGAGGCTTTTGCAGATGTACATTTGAGGCAGAAGGTCTCAATTAGTGATCAGTGAACCGCTTGAGCTTTAATTGGTCTACATTTTTTGAATGACAAGAATCTCCAGTGGTAGTATGCATGTTCTATATGTTCTGTTCTACCTATACAGGCATAGGAAAACCACTTTCAGCCAAAACATTTAATTTTGGCTCCTGGCGCAAGAACGATACGCATAAGGTTTGAATGTATTTGCAGAATTAAGATTAAGAGAGCCTTTATCTGTCCTAGAGTAGGGACATTTCAGTGCTGCATCCCAAGTTAACGGACAGGAATGAGGAGCAGCACAAAATAGAGTGAAACTAGAATGAAACTAGCAATATGACGCTGCGAAGGGGCGAAGCTTCCTGGGATGGGAAGTCTAATTCCCCATTCAAAATCCCAATATTATATTATAAAAAATGTAAAACTTATTTGGGGCCGATGTATGATCCGACCACAAGTGACCACAAGATATGTATATCTTTTATAAGTTCCAATTCCCAACTTTTTTGTTTGCCTGTTTTTTGCTTGGGGGCATTTAAATGTTGTTGTTTTGCCTGGATTTATAGAGTTTGTCATTAAATGTTCCTTTTGCACTGGGAACAAGCATTCAACTTTGCTTGGCTTGGTTACAAGTCATAAACAGAGAGGCGATTGTCAGTATGTTTCCTTGTCTTGAAAAATATATGACTTTTTGCAGCTATCAGGTTCATTAGATTGGATTCAATTTTTTCCGGTCACACTCATTATAAAGAGGGCAGCATTTGTTAGTGTTTGCGCCAGGTTCTGATTTTTTTTTTAATGATTTTGGCCTTGGATCTAATACTATAAGTTAAATGAGTGCATGATAGGCCAGCCTTCTTCCATTGGATTATTATTGGTTGAATGCTCCTAAATAGTACGTGCGAAAAATGTCACTGTTCTTATGTCATCTGCAGCACCAAGTGTGTTACATGATTTGTCTGAGAAAAGGACCTTTTGATTTTTGGCATCGAGCCAACTCATTGGAAGATCAAAGGGACCAATCATGCATTTATTATACTATGGCTCACTTCACCGTTCAGAACATCCAGACACATGGATAGAAATAAGTCGATATTCCTATTCCTATTAAAATGTAAACCTGTTTCCTCACGGTGGATCAGGAAGATAAAGATATTGACCCGCTCATCCAACCATCCAGCAGACAGCTCAGTATTAGACAAGACAAGGCAGAATTTCACTTTCATTTGAGAACCCATACGCCATTTTAGTGTTGTACTCTTGTAGTACAGTTTTTGTGAAAGTGCTTTTATCAGATTACAGATTGCCTCGCCCAGCTGCTACCAAAATCTTCACTCAATTGGTACTCTCGTAAAATAGTACAACAAACAACATTACACGATTAAGGTGTTAGATCATAGCATAAAAAACAATGCCACAATGTTGGTAGTCTCTAAGGTTATTTGGTTCAAGTTAGAGATGTATTGTATGGTATAGAAGAACCAAATAACCTTATTCTACCAACAAGACAAGATGAACCTTCCAAAACTGTGTTCAAGTTATTGTGGAGTGCTCGGCACTTTGGGTTCTTGTAGTTTTAAAAAATATGAAAAGTTGACATTCACAATTTTGACAATATGGTACATGTTTCAAAAAGTCAGAAGTTAAATCTTTAGACGGTCAGGATAAAATACATCATATATTTATGTATATCTCCAGTTTCAGAAACACCTCATCTATTTCAGTGTTTCTCAAGCTGTGGTACAGTGTGGTTCTCAAGATCATGGAGGCTGAACATGGATCTGAACCAATACAAGTGAATTTAAATTTCAATGTCAACTTTATTTGTATAGCATATTTACAACGACACCAGCTGCCCAAAGTACTTCACAGGCACGAAAAGGATAACAAATCAAAGAAAACAGAATAAAATACATACACATACATGTTAAAGTAAAACGGTAAAACTCAATTGGTGTTAAAAGGCAAGGCGTTATAATGTGTCTTTAGACTAGACTTGAAAACTTCCAATGAAGGAGCTGTTCTAATGAACAGAGGTAGACTGTTCCACAGGTTGGGGGCAGCAACAGAAAAGGCTCGGTCTCCACGAGTTTTGCTGTTTTATCAACAGCTGGTTTTCAGACCTCACTGATCTGACAGGAGCATACAGAGAAAACAGCTCTGACAGATATACAGGGGCCAAACAATTTAAACAAGCAGAGGAATCTTAAAATCAACCCTGAAAGTAACAGGGAGCCAGTGAAGTGAGGCCAGCACAGGGGTGATGTGCTCTCTCTTACATGGCCTTGTGTGCAAGCGAGCAGCAGCATTCTGCACCTGCGGAAGTCGCTTTAGTGAGCTGAGGTCCTGGCCACAGCACAAAGAGTTGCAATAATACCTAGATGAAATAAAAAGTTGGATCACTCACTCAAAGTCAGTGGGTGGGATATAAGCCTTCACTTTGCTCAAGACCCAGAGCTGATAGAAGCTGGCTTTGATTACTGAATTGATTTGCTTGGCCATCCTGAGGGTGCTATCATGAGCAGATAGTGCATCAGTGTGCTCCACAGGCAGGCTGGAGCTAAAAACAACTAGTTAAGTTTTATTTTTGTTGAGAATAAAAAGCGTTGGGCCAGCCAAGTTCTTACTTCCTGGGGACAATCTAGCAGTGTTGTTATTGACACTGAGGTGGGTTTCAAAGGCAGGCAGATCTGCAGGTCATCAGCATAAGCATAAAAGGAGACACTGTGTCTACAGTATGTAGTCGTACAAAACACACTAGACCGACTGCATGTGTTGAAAACTGTCTCGTGTTTCATGTCCGCAGGCCCCGGGTTGGCCTTCATCGTTTACCCGCGTGCAATGGCCATGATGCCGATGCCTCAGCTCTGGTCTGTGTGTTTCTTCCTCATGATCATCCTCCTCAGCCTCGACAGCCAGGTACACAACTGATGAGAAATGACATGAATAATAATGATCAACGTTATTCCAATGTGGTGTTACTGCAAATAGCAAATAAAAACTGAATCTGAAGCTGAAATATTTAACAAAACTTAGCAAATCAACTTCCACTAAGGGTAAAAAACACACTATGATATGAATTTGTTATAGACAAATATATACAATTAACGAGCTGTTGAGACGATATCCAAAATAACAGGGCACTAATGTAGGGTGCCTAAGCCAATAGTTGCAAATTACCATACACATTTTTTTAACATGTTACCAGATAAATATTTTTCATGTACTTTCCTATGTTCCCATGAAATTGTAAAAGCTCTGTACTCTCAGTTCGTGGGCCTGGAGTGCCTGATGACCTCGCTGGTGGATCTGTTCCCGGTTTATTTACGGCAAGGATTTAGACGAGAACTGCTGCTGCTGATGATCTGCTCGGTCTGCTGTTTACTGGGCTTTTCTCTGGTCACGGAGGTGAGTAGTTCGGACCTAATGCGGTATTGGTTTATGAATATGAAATAAATTACCTTTCACTCAGAACAAAGCTAAATGTCAACTGGGTGGATTGAGCTGAAATTGGCTGTGATGATAGGAAGATGACAGCCAACCCTAGGACTGAACGTTCAAGTTGAAAGTGTCTTCATCAGGGAATAGAAAGATTGCAGTATTAGATTGCCTCACCCAGCTGTTACCAAAATCTTCACTCAAGTCATGCATTGCTTTGCATGCATTCATAAAGGATCCCACTAAAGTGCTTCTATATACCTTAGTCAATGTGACAAACCTCATAAGACCTACATGAACAGAAGACATATCTGTTCAAACATTTGAAAATAAAATGGCAAGGATTGGAGAGCTAGACTAACTAACCACAAGCAGTTAATAATAAGAATATAAACAACTAGAGAATTACGACTAATCTCGCACAATAAATGTTCAACCATCACAAAAAGGGGAAAAATTGATATAATTTAGTCAAGAAATTTTTACTTAAGGCTGAAGGCACTCATCCAAAATATCTCTCTCTTTAATAATATTTGTACATTTTATTTTGTCTTGACTTGTTTTGCATGACTTTGAAAATTCTAAATATTCTTGATATTTAGTATATCTTAATACTTGGTGAGATGAGAGTCTCAGTGTTAATTAACATTAACACTGTGAGCAACAACTCCACATCTGGAGGATGGTTGGGTTTGTGTCCTCTGTAATAAATGGTAGGTGATCTCACTCATTGTAACAACCTGCTTACAAGTTATTCAAAATTCTCCTGCAAGGCTTTTGACCCGCACCCGCAGGAGAGCCCATATTTCTCCAATCTTGAAGTCCTTACACTGGCTCCCTGTCAATAAATCAATTTTAAAATTCTAGTGCTGACATTCAGGGCTCTTCATGGTCAGGCGCCTGAATACATCCAGGGCCTGATCTACCCCTATGTCTCCAACAGGAGTCTGAGGTCCTCCACTCAGAACCTGTTGATGGTTCCCCGCACTCTTTTTAAAACCAGAGGAGACAGATCCTTCCAGGCAGTTGCCCTTCACCTTTGGAATGAGCCTCCCCAATCTCTGCGCATGTTAGAGTCTGTTGTTGATTTCAAGTCCCAACTTAAGACCTATTTTTTTAGACGGGTTTTCTCGCCTCACAGTACATAGGCCTCTGTGACCTGTGTTCATGATGAGGTCTTCTGTATTTTCATCTATATGTTTTTTAATGTGAACCGCTTTGTGATCCTGGTCTGTGAAAGGCGCTTAAGTACAAATAAACTATACTTACTTACTTACTCAGCGGACACCAGACCTGATGGTCAGTTGGTCTGAGCCCCAAACCAGGTGGGACATGTTACTGAACGCCCCTCCAGTGACGGGTTGGCTCCCACAACCATGTTATACACAGCACTATGCCTGATTAATAATGCAACTGCAAAATCTAATGAATTGGAGACAGTACAACATACTATTAGTCAACCTTATCTTTACATAATCGAGTGCAGGCGTGCTTATTTTGGAAGTTCATGTTGTGTAAGGTACAGTAAATTACTAACATACTGAAACATTATTTATTCATTCGTTATCTGTCTGAAAACTGGTCGTGATCCCAATGTGCTGGTCAAGTCAGGCGCAGAGAAATCCTCCCTTCTCCTCTCGTAAACCAATCAAGAGCAGAGCACCTCTTGGAACTAAAGTGTGAAAGGCTGTTTCAGACAAAGAATGCAAGGTCAAACTGATAAACAAGCTTTCTCAGTTTCATTTAGTCCAAGAATTACTCTAAGAATTTAAGCATTGGTCTTTTACTTTTATCTGTGCAGCACTTTGGAAACATCTTTTATAAAAATAAAGTGGATTGGATTGGATTTTATTTCAAATTTGACCCCATAAGAGATGTTCATACCCACAGTGGTGACATTTGCTGGTTATAATGGTACGGCAAAGAGATAATGCAATAATGAATAATACTGTTTCACACATGACTCCGTAAAAAGAGTTGGTGAACTACTACAGCTGCCCTGGGGTAGACTGACAGAAGCAAGGCAATCATTTTGTGCCATTGGTACCCCTTGATCATTCACGCATACAACCTTTATTGAGACAAATGTGATTTCCAGGGTGGGATGTACCTGCTGCAGCTGCTGGATCATCATGTTTGCAGCGGCACCACTCTGTTACTGCTGTCGTTCTGCCAGTGTGTGGGCATCTCCTGGATTTACGGTGAGTACACAATGACAGTTAGGTTTACACACACTGTGGAACTGTTGAGGCCACACACCTCCACTGAAAGTCCTCTTCAGCAGGAAAGTTTCAAGTCAAGTCATTTAAGGAGACTTTGTCGGGCACTGCCTCTCAAAGTGAATGTGCCAGGGACAGCCACACACAGCTACAGTGGCGAGTAGAGGAGTTCACATGGGTTCATGCGGTTGGCGAGGGTTCTTGCGATAACCAGCTCTGCATACAGACCCTCTGCCACACAAACAGTGGAAGAACTTGCAGGAAACCTTTCTCCTTGCATGAACTCGGATGTTGTAGAGTGAGGAGTTTGTGGGAGTCAAACTTTAGATAAAGAATTTCCTTGTAGACATTTTAACGGTTAATGACTATTTCACTGAATCACATTGTGCCTTTGTGATTTCAGGATTTCAGGATTTAACTTTCAGGATTTCAGGATATGTTCTTGTTAATTCACATACAATAAAAACAGCATTATAATGTTAATTTTGTATTATCACACCATATGACTGTTTCTGTATTATAATTTCATTGATCAAAAAACTACACCGTTTAATTTTGTTTTCCTTTAATGAACACAACTTCTCATTTATTTTTTAACATCTTCAGTTTATACAATTTTTTGTGTGTGAAATCTTTACTTCTAAAACATGCTTAATGCAAAAGCATATTTTTAACAAAAGCAGGAGTGTGCACCTCTTACACTCATGGTTGCTTGCTAGCAAAAAATTCCCAGCATTCCAAAAATACTACAAGTTGATGTTAAATTACGGTAATCACATTGTGATTTTATGGTATTGTAAAGTTTTTTTGTAATCACATTATAATTGTGGAAATAAAACGCCACAATCTATACTTAATTTTGCATGTTTGAATTGTTTTTCAAAATAACATTTGTTTAATGTTAAAAATTAATTGTAATTTTACAGATATTTGTTACAGTGTGATCTTTAAAAGTTTAAATGATGACATGATGTTGTGTTCAGGTGACTTTAACAGCATGGTTAAATGGTAGATCGTCTTGAAAAATGTTTTTGAATGTTTCCACAGGTGCTGACCATTTTTATGAGGACATCGCGAGCATGATAGGATATCGTCCAAACAGATTCATGAAATACTGCTGGAAATATGTCACACCCCTCATAATACTTGTAAGTATTTCAATTGCAATTTGTGGATGTTTGTTATGAATTTGTGGAAAGGTAATAGTAAGCTCGTAACAGCGTGCAGTGTGTCATGGTAAATGTTCTTTTTCTTTAAAGTGATGATAGGAAGGAGTGATTTGAGCTCAGCTGACTAATTTGATTTTGTTGCATTGTTTAGGCATGTTCAGATGATTTAAGCCTTTCAATCTATATACAGCTTGTATGTATGGCTGCTCTGTGCAGACCATATACAGTAGGTGAGGTCTGGAGGAGCCAACGCCCCCTTAGAACATGCAGAGCTAACAGTGCAATCCTTTCCAATGCAATGACACATCTAAAAGGCATTATTGTGTTTCAGGGGACGTTTGTGTTCTCCATAGTGAGGTACAGTCCTCTGAAGTTCAGTAACTCCTACATTTACCCACTGTGGGCAAACATCCTGGGCTGGTTCATCGCCACTGTGTCCCTCTCCTTGATCCCACTGTTTATCATCTACCAGCTCATCATTGGACATGGAACTCTCAAACAGGTCAGTCTTCACTGGTGATAGTCTGCTCGCAAACCTATTGCTCAGGCATTTGGAGTTTTATTCAAACAAATGTTGGTGATGTCCTATCTATGAATTTATCCCAATAGACAATCAACCAAATCTTTGAAAACAATTTTACTTCTCCTTACAATTTTTAGATCATCCATTTAAAATAGTTCATAACTAAGTCACTGCGACCAGTTGGCGCCTACATGGAATGAAAACGAACAGTTCTGAAAATGAACTAAAGGAAATATAGATACATGGATCATTGCCATGTGTGAATATGTATCTGTGCCATCTTTAAGCATTAATGTCAATTAATAATGGCAAAATTAAAATGTACTGGTTTTTACAACAACCTGGGGCGACAGTGGCTCAGTTGGTAGAGCATTGGCCTTTGGGCCTGAAGGTTGTGGGTTTGAGCTCACCATAAGACCTACAACCTGAAGGTTGTGGGTTTGAGCTCACCATAAGACCTACAACCTGAAGGTTGTGGGTTTGAGCTCACCATAAGACCTACAACCTGAAGGTTGTGGGTTTGAGCTCACCATAAGACTCCCACTGATGACTGCTGTCGTTGTGTCCTTGGGCAAGACCTTTAACCCCTCTTTGCCTGAAGCCCCCACTGAAAGATCAAGGCTCCTGTGGACTCACCACCTGCAGGAGGATCAGTGAGGGGCTGGTCCTCTGTGTACTGGGTGCAGCTCTGACTGCCACCCCCCTCACCCAGAAATGGATTAAGGGGAAGAAAATGGATAGATGGATGGATGGTTTGTACAACCAGTTTCACACATACAAAGTGCAGTAAACATTTCTTCCTCAAGTATAGTGTGATCTTTTCACATACTGTATGTCTGTGTATATCCTGTTAAAATGAAATGAAATGTAATACATTCAACACCCACCCTCATTCTCTGAGAGGATCATGAGACAGGGAAAGAGTGGTTGGATGCACAGACACAAACACGTCATTTAACTTGATTTAATATATCTTAAAGGGTAAAAAAGATATATAGTACTGTTCCATCCATCCATCCATAGTGCTGTTAACCACGGTACATTTTCAGTTTCTTTTGTTCACTTAAAACACTCGTTTTAAGAAAGCAGATTCAATGATATAACCTTTATAAATATATTACTTTATACATCATGTAAATTAATTCCCATTTTGGGTCAGTTTTACACGCTTCGGTATTCATAAGGTTTGATGTTGTGCAACTCGCTGAATAGGGTCTGTGTTTTAACGGGTTGTTCGGGTTCACCTTGGCTTGGGATACATTTTGGCTCCTCACACGACAACATGAATAGATCTTATTTCACACTTCAAATCCAAACAACTAAAACACTCTCTCCTTCTACTAGGCCTATTTAGAAAAAAAGAAACTACACTTGTCTTACTGGGTGAGCCCCAGGGTAAGACCCAGGACATGTTAGAGATATGTATCTCAGCTGGCCTGGGAACACCTCGGAGTTCATGATTTCTCCACAGGATGTGGTGCAAGTCTGAGGACAGAGAAGTTTGTCTCTGCTCAGACTGCTGCCCCCGCGTCAGGGCAACAGATAAAGCAAAAGAAAAAAAATTCCCACGTTCAGATTTAGGTTTAGCAATGTTGTGGCCACAGAACATGTGAGCTGACTGTCATACCTGCTTCTTATTGTGCCGAATGTAGAGATTTTTTTTATAACGTTAAAGATATGATAGAGATTGTATTCTGCTTTGTTATGTTAATGATAGAGATTTTATACTTCTTTATTATGTTAATGATAGAGATTTTATACTTCCTTCTTTGATGCTAGAGTTAGAGAGTTTATTTTATATGATCTTGTATAGTTATTGTTTTTTTGTATCTTGTGCTGTGTGCCCCTCTCTCCTACTGTTCTGTAACTGGTGATGCAATACTGAAATTTCCCCGCTGTCCAACGAATATGGGATTTCTTAATCTTAATCTTAAATCCTGTGTCATTCTGCTTTCATGAGTTTTCAGTATCTTATATTTGTTTTGTTTTCTTGTGTCTTGTCTCCCCAGCGGTTTATGACCCTTTGTCAGCCCACAGATGAATTTGGTCAAAACAAAAATTGGCCGGAGAAAAGTGCCGTGTCCAAATTGGACCAAAGTGAACTCAAACTGGTGCCTAATACTGGAGAACTTGCTGCATGAGGAATCTTTGCATCAACACCACAATACGACATGAATGAATGAATGAATGAATGAGGAAAAGAAATGGAAAAGCAATGTGTGCTTTACCGTTATGTTAGCATACCATGTACGTTTGTGTCTACAAGAAATGCAATACAATGCGTGTGTGTTAAAAAAATGTTGAATTGTTATTTTTTTTGTACTGTAACTTTTCTAAATCAATGTATGTAAATGTACTTCATGTGACTTAGGTTTTTTGCAAAGTTTTTCTGCAAAGATACACTTCCAAAGATTAGCTTTGATGTTTTAACATTTATCAACTTTTGGTAAGAGGTTGTATTTTCCGGGATAAATTGTTTATCAATTATATGTTTCAACTTACATAAAGCGGTGCAATGTCCCTTCCACAATAAAAGATTTTCAAGTTAAGTCTGAGTGCCTCGGACCTTTTCCTCTTTGCTTAAATCTTTTCAGCCGTTAGAATTGTAAGTCCTTGTTGATAATAAATTGCTAAGATGAAGCCTATATTGCTAATTTGATGCAAGCATGAGTTAAAATTTATATTTGATTTTCTTACATGTATTTAGATGTATTCTAGGTGTTTGTGTTACTTTTCTGTCAGGCCCAATGTTTGGATATGCAATTTTCTCCTCTTGGAAGGCCTGGGCGAGATGAATACATTAAGCAGAGCGTGTGATCATTTCTGTTCATTATCACTAGTCATATATACCATCATTTGTATATATTTGTACAGTATGTTTATTTGTGAAATTTGGTGAAGTTTAAAATGTGACTTTCTAGATGGACATGGGCTGCGTGAATTATTACCGTGTATACCAAAAGAAAACAAGCTTGTAGACATGAGTTCAATGTCCAAACTATATATTACCTTTCATAATCAGTTTGGTTAAAAACAATCCCGCCCATGACCCCTTACCCCCACCCAACAGACGCACCCCAAACCACAAATATTTTTAAGAACTCACACATGCACACACACACCAGTAAAACAGTAAAACCATGAAGAGAGAGACTTGGCAGGGTTCAGATGTAACCAGCGGAAGAAGCGCCATCCAAGGAGCTGTCTGCATGAGGAGCAGAGAGCCGCCCGTAACCACAGGGAACGACACAGGACCCAGAGGAGGCACAAAGCCGAGGCTTCAGGCCCCCGCCAGGTCCAAGAGCCAGACCCCCACAGCCACAGCCGACCACCGCTCCCAGAGCAGAGGGCTCCTCCAGAGGAAACACTGGGGATACTAAAACAATACAATAAAAAGTAAAACATTAAAATGTGGGACTAAAAGGAAACTATCACGATACGTATTAATAATAACAATAACTATAAGAAAAATAAAATAAAATGTGTCTAAAAGATAAATATAATCTATAAAATGGGATAATAAATACTAATCAAAAGCTAATCGAAAAAGGTGTGTCTTGAGCCTGCTTTTAAAAATATGAACGTTCTCTGCGGCCCTGAGCTCCTCCGGCAGACTGTTCCAGAGACGGGGGCCGTAGTGCTGGAAAGATGCCTCACCGTGAGTGTGGGTCTTGACTTTTGGCATGATTAGGAGTCTGCTGCCGGAGGAGCGCAGGGGCCGGGAAGGTTCATAGGATAAAAGCAATTCTGAAAGATAAGAAGGCCCAAGACCATTAAGACATTTAAAAACCATTAAAAGAACCTGAAATCGATCCTGAAACACACGGGGAGCCAATGCAGCGATTTTAAAACCGGTGTAATGTGGTCCCGCCCCCTGGTCTTAGTCAGGACACGTGCTGCCGAGTTTTGGAGCAATGGCAAACCTGAAATGTTCTTTTTGGGATTATATATAACAACATATGAATTATGTACGATTTCCCCAGTTATGAGGAAACAATTCAAAATCAACATTACCTTTTCTTTGAACAATTAAAGTTTTGTATTCTTTATGGTATGGACCTTAGGTTTGCATGATGTCCACAATGATAGCATGTAAGGTTTTGATTCCATTATACATCTGCAAGGGCCTCCTCTTCAGAGTCTCAAGTTGCCGGTTAAATCCAGCTGGTTTGTACCATTCAGACCCAGGATCTACAGCATTAACCACTGGCATAATCAACGAGGAAAACACTGGTGTATGTGTAAAATTTATTGTTTGGCAACTTATTTGGATTTATAGATTTCAAAATGTTTGTTTTAGAAGTGGACTGGTGCTATGAGCATTGGGTGGCAGCTCTACTTGTCACCCCCCGACCCAGAAATGGACTAATAAAGGGGTAGAAAATGAATGAATGAATGTTTTAGAAGTTGAACTAATCCTGTTATTTAACCACAGACTAAATGTGTTTCTCAGCTGGCCGGGAAAGCCCCCAGATTTGTTCAGACTGCTGTCACCGGGACCCCCTAGCCTCAGTGAGAGGTGACATGAGGTTTGACTTTGTGAAACTGAAATGATGAGTCACTATCACAGTAATGACAGAGCTGAGCCTGAATTGGAGTGTACGGGTTACAGCGTCCTGTAGTCCCACGCTCAGACCTGAGAGCACAGGCTTAGAAAGAATAGTATATTAAGATTAAGATTAAGAGATCCATTTTTCGTCCCACAGTGGGGAAATTTCAGTGTTGCATCACAAGTTATAGTACAGTAGGAAAGAGGAGCACACGGCACAAGTTAAGTGAACAATAGCTATACTAATTTAAAAAAACAAAATCTCTAACTCTAGCATCAAATAACAAGTATAAAATCTCTATCTTGAACATAATAATAAAAGAGGTATAAAAGTTTAACAGTTGGCAATAAGAGGCAAGTATAAAGTACTGTGTATTCTTGTTCAAGCATCCATCCATCCACCCATTTTCTTCCCCTTAGTCCATTTCTGGGTCTGGGGGTGGCAGTCAGAGCTGCACCCAGTACACTTAGCACCAGCCCCTCACTGATCCTCCTGCAGGTGGTGAGTCCACAGGTGCCTTGATCTTCCAGTGGAGGCTTCAGGCAAAGTGGGGTTAAGTGTCTTGCTCAAGGACACAACGACAGCAGTCATCAGTGGGAGTTATGAAGTAGGTCTCGTGGTGGGCTTGAACCCATGACCTTCAGGCTCAATGGCCAATGCTCTACCAACTGAGCCACTGTTGGGCCACGCGACAGTGGCTCAAGCAAAGTGTAGTTAAATATACAAACGAGAAGAACAGAAACCACTCAGGATCCATAGGCAACTTTTGGTTAGCCAACAAAAAAGATTGCAACTCATAAAAATCTCAACAAATGACAAATACAGTACATACTGATTCCTACATACTGAGTGTAGTCTTGAGGAAAATTTGTTTTTGTTGAACCTCATGGTTATTACGTTCACCTATAGGTTTTATGAAAGTGCTGCCTAAGAGCTGCTCTAAGTTGACTTTTGTCCAAAGACAGGGGATTACGTTACATAAACTTGATCCAGCTCGAGGCAGGACATGAGCCATTCATGCAAAAGTACACAAGAGTGGTTCAAAAATTCTTCTTTGTCCAGTGTTTTTGTGAGAGGATTCTTTAACCAAACACTGGAGACCTCTTTGTTCGACCTTTGTTCCTTTCCCTCATACTTTTTTGTCAGTGTGAAAAGCATGGAGGAAATATGTGTTTTCCTGGGGTTCATAAGATACTTTGATGTTAGATAACTTGCACTGGTCCAAATATTCAGTGTTGCAGGACACATAAACAATTTTTGTTCAGACTCCAATTCAATTGGTCCATATATTAAAACAGACGACAGGTGTTGAAAAGGCTATGGCAGCACTTTCCCAAACTCAGTAACACCGAGGCCCCCTTAAAAATCTGACGGGTCTGCGTGGCCCCCCAAAATAATAACCAAGAAGACAACATTAAGAATAGGCTCTTCTGGTTATTTTATTTTGGGGAAATAGCCTCTGCTACAAACATTGTAATACAAAAATGATTACTGTGGATTATTCAAGTCAAATAATGAACACAAATATTTTAATATTACAAACAAAACATTATAAATTTAACATTAAATAATTATATTATTTTTTAATTTTTTTTTATGACCTCCCGCGGCCCCCCTGCAGTACCCTCGCGGCCCACCAGGGGGCCGCGGACCCCCCTTTGGGAGACACTGGGCTATGGTATAACTGGTGTAAGTGTATTTTGTTTGTTCTGGGATAATGTCTCCTTATCTTTAAATCATTACGTTACGTTATAATTGGTTTTAGCAGTATGACTTGACCTCATTGGTACATCACTTGCATTCACCTTTTTTGCACATCCATAGGCTTGAATGCAGTAATTGCATTTTCGCCACATTTGATCTACGACCTTTAACTGCAGTTTAAATGAGAGTTCACCTGAAAAGTGTCAACTTTTGAAGACTCTGTCAGTCTTGACTTTCAATCTTCACGTTTCAAACATTCTTTCCCAGACATAAAACGCTGAGATTTCTCAATGAACACGGTACAGTTGTCGTTCAAGTTCATTAAACTTGTCGAAACAACGTTACAGTCGTTTACTCTGAGGTGACATGGTGTGAATTAATGAGGGTAATTTCCTCATTTTGCTTCAGGGCTTTAAAGTATACAACTGTTGATATTATTATTGCAATAATACACTTAGGCTATTATATTTAATTCTAATCAATTTTTTTTCATTTCATTGATAAATACTTGGACCATACTGTACAATCAGCTATTATACTGCACTATAATGTAAAACATTCCCTCTTGTTATGAGGGAGCAGAGAAGACGCATATTTTTTCCTGCATCTTGAAGGCTGTGTGGGATAGGTGCATCTTATAATCCGTTGCGGCTTGTACAAGTACAATATTCTATTTGTTTGTCAAAAAATTGGAGCCTGTAGCTTATAATCAAGTGCGGCTTTTTGAATAAACATCAAGCCTTCCACTGTCAAAAGTGGTTGTCTAAACACTTTTGGTAACATGCAATTAAGAAAATCTAAATTGAAAGGTTAGGTTGGGTCAAAGTAAATTGTACAACACTGCAAAGAAATAAAACATAAAATAATATATTTATTATATATATATATATATATTTAATGTATTAAAGTTATCATTAATATTGTTCCCACCTCTACACCTTCTCCACCGACTCCCACTGATGACTGCTGTCGTTGTGTCCTTGGGCAAGACACTTAACCCCACTTTGCCCAAAAGCCCCCACTGAAAGATCAAGGCTCTGCTCACACTCAGAGAGCAGCCGTCCTCCTGTGGACTCACCACCTGCAGAGGGTCAGTGAGGGGCTGGTGCTATGAGACTTGGGTGGCATCTCTGACTGCCACCGCCCTGACCCAGAAATGGATTAAAGGGTAGAAAATGGATGGATGGATGGATGGATTAATATTATTATTATTTGTAACTTCCTAAGATGGTGAAGAAGCTAGCTAGAAATGTTATAGCTGTATATTTTTAGAATTTTTAATACCTCACAGGTAACAATTCATTTTCTATTCAATTGATCAACACCACAGTCCTTCCTGTTAGACACTAACTCTCCAACAGACCCTCCTGCATCAGCAAGAAAAAAACTCTAATCAGAGCGGCTTCCCAACGTTCATAGCATTAGTCCCTTGCTGAGGTGGTGGGTCCACAGGAAGATGGCTGCTGCTCCGTCAACGAAGACATGGCCTTGGTGTTTCAATGTGGGATTAAGTGTCTTGCCCAAGGACGCAACGACTGCTGACATCAGTGGGAGCATTTGGAGTAGGTCTCGTAGGAAGAACCCACAACCTTCGGGCCCAAAGGCCAATGCTCTACCAACTGAGCCACTGCCGCCCCACAGTAGAATTAGAAATAACAAATTTTACCATTACATTAGAATGATTTTATTTAGAATGAGGGGCAATGACATTGAGAACCATGATGCTCTAAACGCAATGTGGATGCTACATCATCAGATAGAGCAGAAGTTAAATCGGCCTATGACAGATCCAAGCTAATGCATTATTGCTTTTTCAAAAATCATGTTAAAAACAGTCCCTTTTATTTCATCTGTGTACTTTGAATTGCCTTATGCAAGAACTGTACTATACAAATAAACTTGACATGCCACACACATGCATTGCCACGGCCTGGAAAAGACATGGACTGAATTGTGTTTTTCATCATCATTTTGCATCCAAATGGGTGCATGAATTGTAAGTACAAATAATATAGTTAGCACAATTTGAATGAAAACATTGCAAACAGATTCTGACCCAAATTCTGACCACATAATAACAACCATTAGTTCGACATAACAGACATCCTGGTCTTAAAATGTATTTGCTAATCCATCCCTCCATACATCTTATTCCCCTTAATCCATTTATGTGTCGGGGGGAAGGCAGTTAGAGCTGCACCCAATTCACAGAGCAACGTATTCCCTAATTACATAGATTATTATAATCTTTTAAAATATATTATGGTTGAATGTTGGCCAGAACCATATTATTGTGTCATGTCGGATTAAGTTTAATTATAGCGTGCAGCTAAGGTGTGAAATAACCATGGGAAAACCAAGAATGTCTAAACAGGCGTGACAAAACAAATCACTGATGTCTCACTGAAATACGAGCTGACACTTCCTAGTCCAGTATCAATCCAAATGCATTTTTTCCCTACAGGTAATTATTTATTTGTACACATGAAAACTGTTTTTCTGTTCAAATGTCTCACTGGAGGGAGAGTCCGTGAGACAGTTCAAGTTTGTAATTCTTTACACTAAATGTTTCTGAGCAGTGGTGTGATGTGTCCTGAGTTCTTCTTGTTTCTGAAGAGCTCATCCAGAGACTTAAAGCTCATTCCATTGTGTGAACAAGGCCGATGTATAAAATGACATATACTAAATTAAACTGAACTATTTAGATGGTGCTTTGTTCAGACACATATTCAACAAATAGGACTGTGTTACAACATGAGGTGTGGCGCAGCTGTTGTATTCATAGTGGACTAATAGATGCGTTTGGTACTAGTAGGATGAACTAGACTAACAGTTTGACTAGTAAAAAAATTAAATTGGAAATTGGCAGTTGATAGATACTAATATTAGAAAATTATCAGGCTGGTTAATAATTGTCGATCCCTAGAGCTCATAATTGTCAAACTAATAAAATCTAAAAAAGACCTGGCTCCACTGAAAGGGTAAGATCATTGACCGACATAAGTAAAATAATGTAGAGATTTTTAAATCAAAATACATATTTATTTATGTTTCTCATGTGGATGAATACCACGAATCATGAGAGGCATAATAACTTATAACAGTTTATAAATAAAATATCACATGTAGGAAAGTTAACACTGAGAAGTGGCTTTGTGGTAAAACAAAAAGAATTGTGTGGTGACATTACTCAAAAGAATGTCCTTGTTGCTAATTTAAAAAATATGTTAAAAAACATTCCTTAATTTTTCCTTAGTCATATTGTAGAATAACTGGTGTTTAATTTAATAGCAAAAATAAGACCACAATTTCAGTTGTAAACATAAACAAAGTGAGTTAGTAAATGAAAGTCAATCCACTTCTGTGAGGCCGCAGGGTCTCCGAAACTCCTGACCCCTCTCGTGAATCCATTTATTTGAAACTAGAAACAGACAAAACAAAGTGTCAAGGCCATACATTTCAAAAGGTTTTATCTTTGATTCAGATTCAGATTCAGACTACTTTATTTATCCCACCAGGGGCAATTCATTTGAGCAGCACATAACATTAAAAAACACAGGAAATAAGTGATTTGACATGAAGTGGAGTCCCATACAAACATATGAACATGATACAACAATACAGTTCAAACATTAAAGTCCACATCCCGCTACAGAGAGTTCAAAAGTCTAATTTTGTGCCATGCACAAAAGATTTTAAATGACGATTCGTTTTACAATGTGGTGCAACATAGCGTCGTCCTGATGGGAGAAAAGTGAACTCATCATTCAGAACATGATCAGTGGACATTATGATGCGAGCCTTTCTCACCATCTGCTGGTTACAGAGAACTGACAGTTCCCTCTGTCCAACTCCTATGAGTTTCGAACAGATGTGCACAATTCTATCAAGACTATTTTTGTCTTTGTGCGAAAGATTAGGAAGCCAGCAGACAAAGGAGAAGCACAAAATGCTTTCGATGAAGGCCTGATAAAACCGAGACAAAATAGTGGAGCTGACATCAAAGGAGTTTAACTTGTGCATAAGGTAAAGTCTTTGATGGCTGCGCTTCACAATAGCAGCAGTGTTGACATCAAATTTCAGTTTATCATCCAATATAGTGCCAAGGTATTTGTAGTGGGAGACTCTCTCAACCCCTACCCCATGAACAATACTTAAAGGGGCTGGATCTCTATTTCTCCTGAAATCAAATACAAGCTCCTTAGTTTTAGCCAAATTCAAGTCCAGGAAATGAGTGTCACACCATGAAATAAAATCACTAAGAGCCTCACCATGACATTCTCATTTTCGTTAAGAAGAGATAGGAGGGCTGTGTCATCTGAAAATTTCACCAAGTAGCATTGCTCCTGGGTGCGTCTACATTCATTTGTAAACAAAATAAAAAGAAGAGAGAGAATGCACCCCTGGGGGGAACCTGTGGAGATTGTAGCAACCTCGAACAAACAGTCATTCACAAACACTCTCTGTTGTCTATTAGTTAAAAAGTCTAAAATCCATGACACCAGTTGGTGAGGAAGATCAAAGTGGTTCAAAAGACTCTGAACAAGAAGATGAGGTTGCATAGTGTTGAATGCCGATGAAAAATCTGCCAGCAAGAGTCTCGCGTGAGCTTGAGGCTTTTCCAAATGTTTAAAAAGTGCGTTGAGGATAAAAAGTTTAGCATCATCAACTTTTTCCCTCCACATATTTGAGGATTTCATTTCTTATAATTTTCTCAAATATTTAGGGGTTAATGCCACAGGTCTAAAATCCTTAAGCTGCTTTGGCCTATACACAGACTACTACTATAGTCTATAGAGCTTAAAATGTAGTCAAATAACAACTTTGTCATTTTATCTTAGATTTTTTAACTTTGCTTCTTGCTGTGTTAAATATGCACTTCAATTATATTCTGTTTTGTCTTAATATGTATGATGTCACTCACCCCATTTGCTTCCCACTAAAACAGGACATGCTGCATGCCTAGTCCTGTAGTCGCCCTCTCCACTCCTGAACAAGTTATACCAAAACACGGATGTCCCCTGCAGAGAGGAATATGAGGGAGAACGTTGGCGTGCGAGGTGTCAATAATTCACTTACAGGGAACCCGAGGTGAAGGATTTTGATGACTACTCCGGATAGAGAGATAATTACCATAATGGATTTCCCTATTGAACGATTCATATGCCACAATGGTTCTTTGATGCCTATGTGAGGGTTAGGGCTAAGACATGCATTCTGGCGTCTCGTAGTCTCATAACACTGGCTGAATAAATTGTTGTAATAAATACATAAATCCCAACATTTTGAGGAATAAGGTATGTGCAACAGTCATTATCAACCTTTTGAAGATGCAGTGTAACCCTCATAATAGCAATTGAACTGCAACTCATTTGTTTTTGGTTTTATAAATATATTTAGTTAGTACCAACAGAAAGAGTCTTGTTTTGCAAGCAAGGAGATAGTTACATAGACATTCGGTTAATTGTTTGTGGTTTCAAAGTGAGGTATGCTCCACTTTTAACAATGCACAATTGAAAATAGTAACTTATACTGTATATCACGACACAAAACATCTAGCCTCACCTTACGGGGTTTGATCGAGGCTCCAAAGTCTGGAAAAACTGTTGCACCTCCGGCCACAACATCACTCATCTGAATGAAACACACGGCCATTACACACCCAACAAAAATATGAAACGCAGCCATAATAATGTTTTTTGGTCACATTATTATGGCTTCAATCTAAAAAATATAGAACTATATTAGTACTCAATAGTGCCATCTCTATCAGATATTGTAATACACCTAAATCTGCGTCAATAAGCACTTATTCTTTGCTGAGACAATCCATTCCTCTTCACAGGGCATATCAAGATGGGGAGTACTGTATTTTTTGGATTATAAGTCGCAGTTTTTGCATAGTTTGGCCAGGGGTGTGATTTATACTCTGGTGCACCTTATGTGTGGAAATTATTACATTTTATATTTCATTAATCTTTGGAGTTGGCGGTGTTGTTTAGAAGTGACACAGAGGAAGGAGATTTCATGGAACTCAAGTGACACTTGATTCTTTGGTAAAGCATGTTCTTTATGCTAAAGATATTTGAGTGACTCTGTAATATGTTACGTTAACAAACCAGTTTTATATGTGTCATATAACGTACACTTATTCAGTCTACTGTTCTATATTTAATTTTTATTTCAAATTGCCTTTGAAATAAAAATTGCCTTTGAAAAAATGAAATGTCTATTCTTAGATTTGGATTTTATAAAAACAAATTCCCCACAAATAAAAACAAATTCCCCCCAAAAAATGCGACGTATGCTCTAGCGCGTCTTAGATATGTTTTTTCCATTTTTTACTATCCATTTTTAGCTGGTGCAACTTCTAATCTGAAACAACATGGCTACAGGACAGAATGGGAAAAGTGTGCTCTACTTCCCCCTACCACTACAAACACGTACACTAATATAGTTCCCTCTATCACCAGGTAAAGATCCATGATAATAAACTACAAGTGAAAAGAAGTCTGGGATGTGATTTTCTCATTTTTCAGAGACAATAATATCATCCATGCAACACCATTTACAGTTATTTCTGACACTTCTGCCAAATATTAACCTTGTGTATGTAAAAGAGCTCACCCTAATAGATAGAAAAATATATAACTATATTTGCAGACTCAAGGTCCAGATCAACACAGACAAAAAAAAAAAAAAAATAGACAAAAACCCCCCCACAAAATAACACATCACTAATGATGTGATGTGATGAGATTTATGACATTTAAAATGATCAAATTAATGTGTGCACTCAATTGACCTTGCACAGACTTGTACTTGGATCAGGAATTGAGAAAAACTTGGGTGAAAAAAGTATTTGAGCTCAGGGTCATGTTGACTTGTACACTCATCAACCCCTTTATTAGGTGCTTTTTTTTTTCGGACTATAAGCCGCAGCTTTTTTCCTGTATTTTGAGAGCTGTGGCTTATAGTGAGGTACAGCCTTTTTTTTTTCCTTTTACAATGTGGGTTAGTTGCAGTTTATAATCCAGTGCGGCTTGTACAAATAAAAAGTTCTATTTCTTTCAAAAAATCTGATCCTGCGGTTTATGATCAGGTGCGGCTTATGGTTTGGAAAATACGGTACTGCTCATTTTCTTTTTAGCACCATAAACTAGTCAGCCAATCACACTGCAGCAGTTGGATGCCTACAGATAGATAACTTGCCAAGTTCCAAGGAAGCATTAGAATGTATGGTTGAATAATCCAGAAGGCAGACAGACTCTTTTGGAAATCAGATGTGATTTCAACACACAACTGACCCTAAGGTTTACAAAGAATGGTGCGAAAAAGAGAAAGAATTGGAGAAAAAAAAAAAAATAATGATGTAAGAAGTCAGAAGAGAATGGGCGTACTGGTTTGGGATTGTTAAAATGACAAAAAGAACATTCTTTTAATCAAGAAATACAGAGAACCGTCTCAGAAGACCAATTTCACAAGCAAGTTGCACCTAATAACGTGGGTGATGAGTGTACAATATAAGCTAACGTCTGGGTTTTTCATTTGGCAAACAGAACAGAAATATGGTGATTGGCTATTCCGATTCTACTCCCTTGCTATTACTGTGTACTGTAATATGCAAGAGTTAATTTATAATCTTACAAACCTTACCACTACATCAAATGGCAGAGATGCATTGACAACATGCATTCATTCTTTCCCTTTCATTTGAAAAGGTGAAAAAGAGTGACATCTACATCAGCGTGTTAATGGGTGAAAACAACAAAACACTCCACAATTAGCACTGGAACTGATAGACACAAGATTGCTTTTGCCGTTTTCGCACTGTAGGAACCTCTTGCACCGTTAACAAAAGAACTAGCAATAGGCTGCATTTTCTCTTTGCTGGAAAAAAAATATCAATTGCCATCTTATCTAAAAGCTTATCTTTAGTTTTAATATAATTGAATGAGTTGAGAACTATTTAGGAATGTATGTGCACTGATGGATGTGTTTCTTGCTGCTGAAAAACCAGGATCAATACAGTTTAAATTCATCCATCTCCATATTATTACATTTATTACCAAATCCTTGGTTTTGACAACCAATTAAAATACAAAAAATGTTGCCATCTGAAGTGAGCTATTGTTTGCTTACTGGTTTGGTTTTATTACTTTAAACAAAACAAAAATGAAGCCAAAAGTAAAACTCTGGTAAACAACGGCCGAGGTTCTTATAGTGTGAAATTAACTAAGAATGTCATATGTCCACAATTAAATAGTTTTGCCCCATTTAGAAAACCCAGATGTGTCCAAGTCGATCAGTAAAAGTCCCAAAGTGAACTAAAGCTTGTGCATTCACATCTACACAGAAGATGAAGCTAAAGGCGGTTCCCACTCTCCTCCTTGCGGCGACTGGACTCGTACTTACGTAGTTTAACATTGTGGCCACGCGATTTCCAGTGCCTAACCTTTTGAACGCATCGGGCTCATCTTTCTATAAAGATAAGATTCACAAACAGAAGACTTTGAGAAGAGGCTGCGCACAGGTTACTTACATAGTTCAGGAAGGTGGCAAGTCTATTCCCATCGACCTTGAGATTGCTGTCAAAAGGACGCTGCAACAGATATTGACATTAAACCTGTGGAAAATGCTGCAAGTCGGCGTTATTTTAAATGTGTTCTGTTTGGGCACCTTTTCTCCTGGTTTGGTGAATTTTCTTTTCGTCCAGGTATTTGTGGGTTTTATAATTTTTTGTAAGAAGTACGTATATTTGAAGAGTTCATATGCAAAAATAGATCTCTCCGTTTTGAAATTTTGTCCAAATTGTATTCCTCTAGTTACAACCTTCAACATGTTTTTTGCGCAAGAAAGAGTGAAACTTTATTTTTATGGCACTAAAATACATCTGGCTTTTCACAAAACTACTTGGTAAAGAGAAAATTGTAAGCTTTTACGATGTTTCCATGGCACTTATCTGTTTTTGCATATAAACTATTCATTTGATAGGTTACATTATTGATCATTTTTAATACACTTTTTGTAACCTTTTTTGGAAACTTTACAGCTCGGGCCGGGAGTATACTGTAAGAGGCACTCCCGCCCCTCTCGCTCTCAGCCTCTTTTGCAACACCTGCTGAGGTGAGCGTGCACGTGCTTCGCGCTCCCTCCTGGTCCTGTTTGCGGCCTCCTCAGACGCTGCATGGTTTGGTTATATTTAGCCGTTAGCATTTTTTTTCCTGTCCTTTTTGTTTGATCTGGTGGGTCCGGTGGTTACATCTTGGAAGGTGAGGGTGTAGCTATTTGGGGTTTCTTTATTTTTAGTTAGAGTGTCGGCATCAGATCCGGACGGCTCTGTATAGGGTTGGTTAGGTGTCGGCCCATTTTGTTTGTTTTGGCTGACTCACCAGATCTATCTTTAATTTGATTACTTTGAGTTTTTTGGATTTATCCATATAAAATCAAGAGTTCACTCAAAAGGAAAAATATATCAATAAAATCAATTTTGAACTCTCCACCTGTTTCTGTGTGCTCAAATATGTTTTGTCCTTCGGGTCGTAACAAGGTGAAACTTAAATGTGTTGGGTTCAAATCAAGTGTGTTGGGTTCACAGTTTAGAATTTGAGGTGAAAATAAGAGAAATACTTGAAGAGCTTATGAAACTCTATGGCAGGGGTCTTCAACTCTGTCCTTAAAGGGCAAAGTGGCATAGACTGATGATTGCAAAACACACAGGGCATTCTTCGCTTCAGGCCCATTAGCAAATTTCTGGTACACACTTGAGCAAACAATAATGCCAAAGACAAATCTCACTCAGTGTGTTGAGAGGAAGTTTTGAATGAAAAGGATTTAGTTAAATAAGACTTAATAGTGGGAACTAGGGTCATAAGAGTATGTTCTGTGATATAAGTCGACCAAATAATCACCTCAGAAGAGTGAATATTCACTAGGGCTTCCACCATTGGTCGGCTAGAGTTAATTTGCAAACACATTGCACAAGCATTGCGTCTCATGGATGGGAGTGAGGCGTAGAGGACCGGTTACCGCTGCCTCTGTGAAGTCCATGATAAAGTGTCCAAAAAAAGTATCATCATCATTCATCAGCGTTTGGGCCTGGGGATGTCAGATTGTATTCACAAACAGTGCGTGTATGTCTGCACGTGTGACGATGAACACCAAACTATTACTCAAATTTGTCCCATGAGTCCTCGTCTGCAAATCTATGACATCCATCATAGTAACACATTTCTAACATTTGAAGAAGTGATGTAAACCCAATAAACAATGTAACAAAAGAACCTGTTTTGTTGTTGTTGTTGGTTAACTATTGCTGCCTGAGGCATGACCTTGGTCAACTCACACACTCTTTTTTCTACCACAGTCCAAATAATTACATACAGAGAAACAAAAAGCAACACCTCAAAACATCACAATTTTTGTACTAACTGAATATTGTTGGAATGTATTTGATACATAGTAAAACACTTACCCTGGAGAAGTCATAATGTGGCTCATACTGTCCTCCAACACCGTAGTTTGCAACCTGCACAAAATATGATGCAAAGTGTCACAAAAGACTAGCAACTCCTTTAAGTCTATCACAATATTACTATCTTGTATGGATGGGCCAACATGCTAAATACCTAACTATTATCTATTGTACATATAAGTTATGCACTGCTTCTATATTGTGTTGCTTATTGCATGCTTACTGATATGCTTTTGTGAACTCATTCATGGGTTAAATCAAGCACTGATGGGGTTGAATAACATGCTACAAAAACCTCATCCTCATACCTGCAGTAATTCTGCTGTTTCTACAGTGAGTCCAGTCACGTCTTGTATTCTCTGATTGACTCTGGCGATGATCGGATCTTCCTCTGCTTCCAACCAGGCACTAATAAGAAAACGTAGTTTAGGATTTTACAAACTGATCAAAACCACATGCAGTGTGACAACAATTATCCCCCATTCCGGTGTGCAGAGACTGGATAATAAACAACATTGTAAAGCACCTTTGTGACTTGTTCTGCCAAAGTGCTAAATAAATGACCTACTGATTTTAAATAGACATTTGAGATCAGGTATGTAAGAAACTCAAACTCAAACCGTTTGTGAAGTATAAACAAATGGCTGGAGGCACAGTTGTTTTGAGTTCTGACTTCTGTTTTAATTGTTACCCATCTCTGCAGAGACGAAAATGACAGCTGAGTTCAGTTGATGAGATATAGACTAATAAAGTATGTATATAGATAATTGACACTGATCCATTACTGACACTATATAAATAATTATATAATATACATACTGTGTAAAACAGCACTGTGAACCTAAGTTGAACCTTGAACCTTGCATAAGAATGTCTGAGTCCTTTACCTTTTGGAGACTCTATACTGAGCTGTGGTCAAGATGCCCGTTTTGGGATCTCGCACTGTTGCCCGAGCAAGCTGTGAAAACAACACAATTAATTATATTAGACCTTGGCCGAAAACTTTTCTAACCTATTCTTGTGAACTGCCACATATTGCAAATGTCTAGTTCTTCTCTCGAAAAACACAAAGAGATGGACAACTTTAAAGCTTTACTTTAGTTTTTGGCCAAGCAGAATCCTCTCCATAGAGACAAGAGCCCTTACGAAAGCAAATAATACCCAAAATTCCAATCTCAGTCTCCATAGTGACGCCCCACAACCCATTTGTAATTTTCTTCATATTAAGAGGCAGCTAATACTCAACTGAGTCATTGAATCAAGCACTCTTGCTAAATTAAATAGTACGTTATCATCCAGCCAACTGTACACTGACCCGGGGTTTTGCCAGCTCCTTAATCCTGTCCATTTCCTGGTCAGACAGAAAATGGATGTAGCGTACGATGCGAGGGCTGTCCCACTCGTCCTCTTCCATGAGCGGTCGCAGCAGTAGCTGAGGGTTCCTGTGGCCGTCCTGGTAGCGGCAGAACAGGCGGCTGCGACGGGCTTCATTCTGGAACAACACACGGATCATTAAGTCTAAAACATGTTCATTGTTTTTGGCAACTAAAACCGATACATAAACAGAACAGTACACAGGCTCTTAACGAAAGGTTCCAAACAAATGTGTTTCAAATGTCTGCGATACAAGCAGAAATCATACTGATGCGGTTATATTCCAAAACTGAAAAAGTAATATTTTGTATTTATTTCAACAGTTGTTTCATTCATGATGAATCTGATTTTTGTCTATTCTTCTTTCTCTTTATAATCCGTTTATCTTTTTTTAAGATTAAAATGGAATCTCAGAGCAAACATGCAATGACATGTCAATGTGAAGATACCTTTAGGCACATATAGTTAAAATGACGTGAATGTTTTTTTATTGCTCTTACAGTCATTATCTAATTTTTTTCCCAGCACAAAACACTAAAGCATGACACATTCAATAAGTACTTTGACTTTTTCAGTATTATTCCCAATAGCTCTTCATCCTAAACATACAAGACAAAAAGGACCTATTGGAGGTAAGATAAATTATCTCTATTTTTCCCACAATGAGGAATTTTTCATTAAGTTTCATTACGTTCAAAAACAGAGAACTCTAAAGATAAAAATAAAATAGCTATTGAAATCAAATGCACTATGGATCGTTTTTAAATAAGTAGTACAAGAGGCGTTAGCGTCAAGTGTATGCATGTAAGTAAACTGAGCAGGCTTTTATGTAAAATAAAGTGTTTTTTTTTCAGCGCTCTCACCATCTGCACTCCCTCTCCTCGACATAGGGCCTCGTACGCCTCTCTCTCTGGGAGGTGGTCCTTGGGACGGGTGTATGTCCCCAGTTGGATGGGTTGCTCTGTTGCAGGTTCAAACTCCTGCTTCTGCTCGTTGATCTGTTTGGACAGCAGCACCTCAAAGTAACGAAGGTTCCCTCCTGCCCTCTGGTGGCTAGGATCTGCAAGCACAAAAGCATTTCCATTCAAGAACATACTCCAAAGATTATATGAAAATTGGAAAATGTCAATGTTTTCTTTTGATGTGTAATAACTATATAATTTAAAAAAACAGTTTTACTTTCTGAATAAAATTTACAATATTAATATTTTGAGAAGGAAGTGACAGGCTTTCTATCCTGTGAGTACACTAACATTAATTTAAAAACACTTCCTCTGGTGATGTTCGCTGTGCTGTGTTTGATCTTCACTCTTATGAACTGTGCTTTACAAATAAACTTGGCTTGTCTAGATGTCAGATACAAGCCTATGATAACTAAATGTTTTTATATAGAAATAAATGTATAAATGCCACTTTAAGCTAATGTATGCTGAGTACATTTAAATTGGATGTACAGATGACTCTGTAAGACACAAAAATATTGATTTCGACTTTGTACTTGCAATGCAGATTGTTGTGTGTGTGTTATACAATTAAATGTAAAAACCCTCCACAGCAAATATACTGTACTCTACTTATGTCAAGACAATTGTAATAATAAAAGCATGACTATAAATAACATGAACTCAGGACTCTTTGGGTACACTGGACTAGAGTATGGCCTCCACTGTGGTGGATCTGTGGTGAAGCTACACCCTTCTGCTTTGGCAACAGGGAGCGGTGAGGGAATGCACTCAACTGAAGCAAAGAAAGTGTAGTTCCAGCTAATAATAATATTAATAATATTAATTATTATTAAGAAAAATAAGAAACCCAATTTTACATAAAAAAGGGCATGTATCAACATACATTCACTTTACAGAGATACACATACACACACACACACACACACACACACACACACACACACACACACACACACACACACACACACGCACGCATAAAAAAGTTGTCTGCCACTACTAAGATCATAAGGCAGGCATTTCTTATCAACTTCATTTCTTATTACCCTACTACTCCACATCCAAATGTTTGACCCTTGTTTACTCAGAAGTACCACTGCTTGTATAATTCTGCTTGTGTATTACTAATCATTATGATAATTTTCCCCGAATATCAGATTTTTCCTGTCATTCAAATTTAATTGGGCTTTGAGAGGGTTAACTAAATACAAAACAGTGTGCATAAATCATTGTGTTACCATGTGCCACTAATTGGAAATGTATTGTAGTTACTGCTGATGGAAGGGACAGCTGGATTTGACTTATAAATAATGAGACAAAGATGCATAGTGGTTTTCCTTCACCCATTCTCACTGCAAAGAGCGAAATGAGAATAAACCACTAGAGGGCGCTAGTGACTAACATATAGGGAGGTCTAGGTGCCTCTGCTTTGACTTCTGCCTCCGTAACCCAGCAACGGATTAAACGTAAGGAAATGGATGGATGGATGATGAAATCAGTTTGACTTTCTATGGTTTCTCCAGTTTTTAAATCATTAATGTCAGATCTGTATTGAATCATACATGCACTACCTGTACTGCTTTCAACTGTCACATTTGATCTACATTTGGACTATCCTTTGTGTTTATTCAGAATGTGGACAAATTTATGTAATCAATTATGCAAAAGTTAGCCTGGTCGTACACACCATAGTACAAATTACGTTACATGCAGTGACGATTGAGCGGAGTGTACGGATGGCTAAGGCCAGGCTATGAAAAAGTGGCTTCATCAAAGTCATCAAATTCAAAGACAAGAAAAGCAATTATTTGAAAGTTAATTCACTCAAGAAGATAAACATTATCTCATGCACTTTCATAAATCACTCTTAACCTGGTTACGTAAAAGCTCAAAAACAATTAAAAACAGATGAGGGTCTTTTGTCTTTGCTTGCACCTATGTCATATCAGCCGCCTATGTCCAACCATGAAGTAAAATAAAAAACTTAAAAGGTAAGTTTAAATCTGTGGAAATCTTGTATCTTATTTTGTTTACTTTCATAAACACATTGTCCCAACAGCAAGAAACTTGTCTAAGTTTGTTTTGTACTGAGCTGATTGGCCGAGTGAGGGCTGCTCTTACTTTCACTGAAAAAGCTGATCCCAAGACGTGACAGAGACCATAAATACATCCGTGTGAAACTAGTAAATCAAACAGCTTAGAAAAACAAACAACTCTCACAAATTTAATTACATAGTTTTGCTGTTTTTCAAATTGCAGCACTGTTTGTCCACAGGTTTATTCTTACCAATCGCCACCAGTCGCCGTGTGAGCTCAATGGCCCGCGGCAGGTCTCCCATCTGGTAAACGGAGTAGCTGAGATAATCCAAGATGTCTGACTTGGTCACCTCTGCCTCCTCTCCCGCGTCCAGCTGCCTCAGAGCCTGCTGCATCCACAACACCGAGTGGTAGTAGTCTCCATCGTTGTACGCCGTTTTCCCCATCCCAAAGCAATCATCCACAGTCAGAAGAGCATCCGAGTGTGTGCCTGGGCAGAGAGGACAGAGACTTCGGAATATAATTATTGCAATTGCCTTAAAAGACCCTGTGGACAGAAAGGCATGACTATTGTTTTCTGATAACTTATGATTGTGGTATACAGGGTTAATTGATTGATTTCAACTGTTTGGTAAGCAATACTAATTGTACTACTCGATTAATCATCAACCGCTTTATACACAATCTTCAATATATGCAAGACTTGTGAAACTCAAGAAACTCAAACAAATCTGGAATTGTGTTATGAGTTCTTCGGGTAAAGAATGAAAACCTGTTAGTATTTGCAATGGCTTCACTTCTCCATATCATACAGGCATTAACTAACTAATACACAAATCTAAAGAATGATTGCTGGATAGTTGTAGGTTGCGCCCTAGTGATGTGATATGATAAGAAAACAAAAATCCTTTGTAGTTTTCTGCCCATTTTCCCACAAATAGTGAAATATGGAGCAGTCATCAGTCTTTCACAGTATTGACACTTATGCATTTTTTCTTATGCGGCACGGTGGCAGAGTGGATAGCACTTTCGCCTCTCAGCAAGAAGGTCCTGGGTTCGAATCCCGGTCGGACCAGGGCCTTTCTGAGTGGAGTTTGCATGTTCTCCCCGTGTCTGCGTAGGTTTCCTCCGGGTACTCCGGTTTCCCCTACCACTAAAAATATGTCCAATAGTTCTAGCATGCGCCTCCTGTACTGGCGACCCCGCTCCCATCTCTGTGTGGAGTGAGAGACAAATGCCCAAAATTAACAATTGTAAACCGCTTTGAGACTCAGATCTGCAGTGAAAAGGCGGTATATAAATAAAGATTACTACTACTACTTCTATCACCACATACTAGCACACAAACCCATTTACTGTTGGGTCATTATCTATTATATATTCCTATGACACCCACAAATGATTATTCCATCCTGGAAAACTGCACTTTTTTTTCTCCAAATTTTTTTTTTGTCTTTTTTGTTGCTTTTGCCCTGTTCAGAGTACATTTTCACTCATGTAAAACACAAAATTTGATTTATTATGTATTTGATATATTTATTTGATGTGGACTTTGTTACCTGGCAGTTTCCCTTGGGCAAACGCTTCGGAGTCCAGCTGGTACGTGTCCTGGAGGCGCATTAGAGCTTTGGCTGCTCCGGTCTCGTCCTCCTCGTCTGGAAAGTATTGTCTGTGCGCTGTTATATTGGAGATGAAGCCTGGAGCAGAGAAAGACACCGTTAAGTAGAACAGTGCTGCCTGAATAACAAGAAAAAGGCATTAGTCAACCAACAATATGTCCATTTTAATTAGGGGTGGGAACCTCAAGGTACCTCACGATACGATACACGTTAGAAAGCTCACGATAACGATTACATCCCAATATAACGATTATTGATATATTGGTCAGAAATATACTGTTATAGAAATCTTTCAGTAAAGCAATCTGAAAAAACATGAAAGAGTTATAAGTGTAAAAGTGTAAGTTATTAACTAATTCTCAGCTCTGGATTCAAATACAGCACTTATTGGCATAAATAAAAGAAAAATTTTAAGTGAAAAAATACACTTTATTTCATGATAAATGGAATGGAGATGCGTAATGTAGCCATATGTTAAGTATAGATACTAATTATAAAAATACCATCCATCCATCCATCCATTTTCTTCCCTTTAATCCATTTCTGGGTCAGGGGGGTGGCAATCAGAGATGCCACCCAAGTCTCATAGCACCAGCCCCTCACTGACCCTCTGCAGGTGGTGAGTCCACAGGAGGACGGCTGCTCTCTGAGTGTGAGCATAGCCTTGATCTTTCAGTGGAGGCTTTGGGCAAAGTGGGGTTAAGTGTCTTGCCCAAGGACACAACGACAGCAGTCATCAGTGGGAGTCGGTGGAGAAGGTGCAGAGGTGGGAATTGAACCCACGACCTTCTGGGCTTAAGGCCAATGCTCTACCAACTGAGCTACTGTCGCCCCCATATAAAAATACCAATTAAACAAAAATAATAATAATAACATATCAATATTTTTCTTAAATCAATACTTGGCAAAGGCATATCGATAATCGATCACGTGAGAAAGTATCACGATACATCACGATATCGATATATTGTCACACTCCTAATTTTAATCCACTAAAAAGAGGGCGTGGCAGGCTGTGATACTCTGATATACAAAACAATAATTAATGACAAAAGTAGTATAAAATGAAGCAATATTCGTGTAATCTAAATGATGCATTATCTTAATCAATGTTTGATTAATTGACTTGAGGGAAAATGATACAGTATTATTTAAAATATGATCATGAGAATTAACTGCAGAAAAGCTGATTTAAAATAAATCATGCAGAGATAATCTTCAAACATGCACGTACAGTTCAAACTCCTGCATTTCTGTGGTTACATTTGTCAATCAACAATTTGGAAACGTGCCTTAGGATAGTTTTATGGAATTGCATAATTGTTTGAACATTTATAGCCAAAATCATATATATTCATGTTTAATGTGGTGTTTTTTTTAATATAAACTCTAACCTATTCCAATCACCTGGAAATAGAAGTAGAATTATTTTAGTTAGGTACTTCTACTTCAGGGCCAAAGGTTGTGTGCAACATTTAAGAGCTTTTAAACATGAAATTGGTGTTTTGTACTTTTAGTATCTTGTACATATAAAATGTGTTATAGTTTTGAGAATTATATATTAAGTGCATGCAGCTGCATATTTACACAATAATACATTTAATTGATTAGCAGTTCTGTATTCTACTAAAGAAATGTAACAATCATCCCAGAATAAAAGAACAGTTCTCAAAACTTTCTCTGCTTTGACTGGAACTCATATGTATTTTCAGACATCAGATCTGAATAGTAACATGGACATTAAAATGCTGAGCAGACCAAGTATATAAAACAAGGATACAATGTTCACAGAAATACGCTTAAGTTCTTCCTTTTGTAATTGAAGCCAGGATTTTTTTGCACTTTTTCATTCAACCACTAAGTTTAATGTTGGTTTTAAAACTCTACTGCCACGTTTACAGATTCACTTCAGCAACAAACACACACACACACAGTCCCAAATCAAACAACTTGTGTCACACTTGGCCAAAATCTGAAAGACTGAACAGCTGCAGGACATGTGCTGGAAATGTTTGGCAGCCGATCAGTTTGAACTTGGCACAAAATCATTTCCTTTCCGTAAAGTCATCACTTTCTAAGACAAAGCATTATATCAATATTATTAGCTATCAAACAAGAAGTGTAGAGAATACTAAAGCGGCAGTTGCCTCGGAGATCCAACAGATAAAACAAATCTATTAAATGCGAGGGCTGGCTGATAATCTCGGGAAAGAATACATTGTTTATATTGTAAAAGGCAAATGAAGAGAGGTACAGACACCTGGCTCAGTATGATGATTGCAATTTTTTTTGGTACAGCCTCAACCCTAACCCGCCCTTTGTTCTAAAGTCTCTCAATCCTATAGTTGCCCTAACCCTCCAACCAAAGTTAAGGTATACTTTAAGGAAATTTGTCTTCTGCCTTTGACCCATACTCCAAAACCACGAGGGCCACCTGCCAGGAACAGTGGCCATGTCCAGGACTACCGGAGCTGGAGGAGGAAGGTGGAAACCGGAGCACCTGGAGGAGCCCCACAGTTCAACCTTTATTGCTGTGAGGAATGTGTACAAACCACTCAGCCACCGTTCCACTAGGAGACCGTCATTAGTAGTTTTATTTACAAGACTCTGCTCGGATTACTGCCCTGACACATTCGTCCATGACTTCAACAGAGAAGTGCGGACTCTTATGCAATTGAGATCCAACGATCAGCTGTTCTCCACAGAGCTGGGGCAAAGCCTTGTCTACACAAAAACCTGGTGTTTGGAACATGCCACAAAGAGTCCATTGAGGTTTATTTAGTCTTCTTATACACTGAGTGAGACTGTAAATATTAGGCACATGGTCTTCCTCTCCAGTCTTCTTGGCATCAGCGGAAGGGTGACAGTGCCACCTCGAGTCCCGACTACTTCAGGACAGAATCCCAGGTGTGTGAGCGTATAAAAAGTCCCCTTGGAATCCAAACCAGGAAGAGGGTGCTTTTTTACGCTCAGACACTTGGGATTCTACCATGTCAGACTGTAGATGGCACAGTTAGTTCAGTTCAGTTCAGTTCAGTTTATTTATTTGCCATTTGCAGTAAAAAAAACCACATTGGAATACTTTAGCAAAAAGTCTCCAGTGTGCACAGACAAATACAGACATAAAACAACATTGTTTATCCTGCCTCTATTGATAGGAAGATAGCCCCGAAACTTGTGTAAAACAACTAACAAGACACGTCACCAGAAAATCACATGGCCACTGTGAGGAAAACAGAAAATGTATGGTTTTTCCTACCTGACAGTTTTTAATCCTTGAAGTCGAACCTGGGAGTGTGTAAGACCTGCTAGTGATCTGTGACTGTTTTATATAATGTGTCATTTTAATGTTCAATTCAATTTGTAACTTTATTCTTTTGCTTGTTTAAAGCCAATAATTTTTCTCAAATTAAGTATACGTATTGTCATATACAGTAAACTGAGAAAAAAGACTATACAAAAAAATATAGTGTGCATCAAAAATATACATGGACTGTTTTTATTCCTGTCCCCACTGATATCCAACTCATCGACCTTGTCATCGCTTCCTGATGCTTTTTCCATTGTTGTATACCAGTGCTGATTACAGACCGTAAAATGTGCAGACATATCATAAAATCAGACTTCCAATGGCGTATGTATATTCTCAGATTACAGTTCTTGGATTTTTTTTCTGAGAATAAGAATGATCAAATATGTGTTTCCACTCATGATTAGTGGTTGGGTGAAGGTATTGACTTGTATGTTGGGTTTGCAAAGTCTGATCTTGGTCATTTTGGTTAACATTTCCAGGGTAGGTCAAATACATATGTAAACAGGACATACAGTGTTTTATCTAATCTGAGGCGTACCATCAGAGGGGTTCTGTAACACCAGGCTCTCCAGCTCCGACCACTCGGTGTTGAGTCTCTTCATCAGTTTATAGGCGTTCACCGGATGAGCCAAGAATCCCTCTGGGTCCGATGTGGAGATCTTGGTCAAAGAGTCCAGCTTGTTGGCCCAGCTAAAGAGATATACATATTAAACACTTGGGAACATAACATAAAGCAGGGGTGCTGAAACTTTATCCAACAGAAGAACAATTTATTTTCTATAAATAAGAGAGAAAATATCTACCTTAGTTTTAAGTACTAGTACAATTTGCTTCCGTTCACAAAGCACTGTGATTCATAGATCCCAATGCAAAAAGTCACTATTCGAAAAAATTGAAGAAATATTCAAATTGTGTATGCATTTAGGTTGCCATCATTGCTGTCTTGATGATTTAAAACCTTTAAAAAGAACTCATAGCAGAAAGTGGCCTGCTAGCTTGCACAATGATGCCTTCTGTGAAAACTGAACTGACCCAGTGGCACCTCCACCTCTAAACCAATAGGAGGCTCAGGTTTCAGGTCCCAAAGTGCTCTTACCTTTTGACTGCAGCCAGTTTAGACTCCTCGGCTTTAATGTACTCTCTCAGTGACTGCACCAGCTCCTTTTCAGTGAACACCAGGTCTGTCATTTGACCTGAGCACAGAAGAAAGGAGGGGGTGTTAGAGAAATCAACCTGTTTGTGCAATGGCTATGCCAATGGGCAGCACACACAGGACTCTTTAACTGTTGTCAACATAGAAAAGACATATACTTTATAGTTTATTTCTACTCTAACCCAAGTTTAATCTAGTCCAATCCTTTGAAGCATGATTAGGGGATGGGGCAGTATGAAATAATTATGAACTAAATTATTAAAAGAAAACTAGTGACATCCAAGGGTCTAAAATACAAAACAATATATTATAAAGACATTAGACATAACTGTATTCCAAATTTTGATGGGAATAGATAGTATTTGTCTAGAATGTTGTGTTGTGTACTCTGAACTGATGAACAACTGCTGAACCATTTCCCCCATCTGTGTGACTTTGTGTTTTAAATGGTAATTTTGGTGTGTGTTTATGTGATGATTTTTGCCTTGTGTGATGTGGACTGTGAAGTGCTTTGTGTTGCCCTGCGTATATGAAAGGCGCTCTACAAATAAAGTTTGATTGATTCATTGATTGAAATGTTCTAGTTTGGATCATGCATTTTCCCCTCATCAGTTGCTACATAAACTTTGAGCAATGAAAGGAGAAGTAGCTCAGTGAAAATAGCTTCTACGTACGTCGTGCAATTCTTGTGGGACTTTAATAGTATAGTACAGAAATGTGACACAGACACCACAGAGCCAGGCACTGAGCTGTTTTAAGCTGTAGACAAGGGTCACTGCACAAAGCAACCGATACTAAGACACTATTGAGTAGTCACAAGTTAAAGGTACTTCTAAAAGAAAGAGTACTTAAAAGCTGAGGTACCCAAACTTTCTAAGATAATTATAATACATCTGATTTGTCTAAAGAAAATGTGTATTGTGAAAGTAAAATGTAAGACGTGATAAAGATGAGACAAAAGCTAAAAATAGATGCTAGTAAGTAAGTGGTAGGTGCTCGTATCACATTGTTTCCTTGTTTACATTTGTAGCTTGAAATTTAAGAAAGTTAGTCCGAGCTGGTTCACTTTTTTTTAAATAAATTCATGGATTATATATTTTGTACCTGCACATAGTACATTCAAGTGTCTTTATGATGCAGAACAGACCTCAGACCTCTGCTATAAAATGTGCTATTCTTACACAGTTCCAAAACAAACCACCTCCGCGGGTGCTCCGACTCGGAACTTCACAATTCAGATTTAAGAGAAGAATTTCCGGAAGTAGACTTGGGGCTTGACACTGATTTCTTGTTTGGTTTATTACAAAAGCAGTATATTTAGCAATATTTTAACTGCAGATAAGGAAAAAGACTGGGCAGGGCATGCACTGTATAGACTTCAAAAACTTAAATTCTGCATTTCATTGATTTTAACAAGAACAAAATTGGCAACAATGTCCATGTAATCTGTAATAAATTTGTTACAGATTTTAATTTTCCACAGGATTAATTTAAACACACTGGACCATCATTAGTGCAGTAAGTAATGAAAAGTTGCGGGCTTTAGGCAATGTAACTCCTTATCCTTGAATACAGCAGCAAAAGTCAATACTAATACTCTATAACAACATTCTCCTTCATCCGAAATGTGTTGATGTTGATTTTAGGTCCACAACTCTAAAATGAAATGTATTTATCTTTCTCTGTCTCACATTATACCACAACAATAATTAAACGTGAATTTAAAAGTCTAAATTCATATTATTATTTATACCAATTGAGGTGAAAATCTCTGCCTGTGAGATCCAACAGCAGCAGCAGAGAAGGACCCAAGAACAAAATCCCTGAAATCCATGCATTTCGAAGTCTGAAATGAAAGAAAATGAAATCATGTCATTTTCAGTTTATGCAAATGTTTTACAGAAAAACAGGCATTTAACTCCCAGACACTACTTAAGATTCTGAATTCACCCAGAACATTACAAAAGTGAGTTTCCAGGGGTCAAATCTCTTGTAATGAGAATGTGTTTCCAAACAAAATCAGCTCTTTCCATTATGCCTGTAATAATGAGTCATTGTGGTTGCTCTGATGGAGACGTGTTATGTGGGGTTTTACATTGAATAGTTACATAGGCATTTCTCCATGTCTGGAAAAATGCCTAACAGTTATATTGAGATGTATGTAAGTTCAATGACAAGTCATTTTAAATCAGTCTATATTTTTGGACTCCATAACGTTTAAACTTAAAACATAAAAACAAATAATACAAGTCAGAGTCTGGTCTCCTGCTAGTCTGGTATTCTGCCAAATGCTCATGTTTTTTCCTTCTGTGCAAAGTTGTTTAAATAAACAGTTTTTTCTTGTATCTTGCTGTCACCTTGCCTCTGCCCAGACACTACAGATAAACTAGCTCATATCCAAAGGTTTTATTGTGAATAATGAATGGAATTACAAGATCTGCCTTTGCCTCTATAAAGTTGATGGCAGAGATGCCCAGACTTCTCTCCATGTAAAGCTGCCCAGTGGTTAGTGCTTGTGCCCCCCATGTCTGTGTACGTCCCATTCAAAGTAATCATACAGGGGAATTATGAGTGGTTCTAAAGCATAGGGCCGCATTCGAGCAGAATGTAAAAATCTGGCCAAAAGTGGCACTTCTCCCTGACTCAGGTTGCTATGCAGATGAATCCAGCCATAACCATAACATCTGAATAGAGTTTGTCAACAACAAATCTATAACCAACACCTTTTTCACAAAGGCCTCGATAGAAATCCTTGTTTTATTTCTTGTTTTGCCATTAATGATTTGAGAATCATAACGAGACCTTGTTTTAGTCCTGCGGCCACATGGTACTTTACCAATGAGATTAGCTCAATGCAGTGAGTTCTGGCAACAGCTTTCTGATTGGTAAAACGATCGAAATTAAAACAATAACAAGATTTATTATAAAACTAATTTTGAAATTAAAATATCTCGGCTGGACTACTTTTATCAGTTAAAGAAGTATTTGAAAAGAGCGTGGTTTACTAATACCTTTTGACAGAGTAGGGCCATTTAATAATGACTAGACATAAAAATCTTACATATTGCTACTTTAACAATCCGCGCAAAATAAAAATAAAAAGATTGTGTTTCTTTCCCTTCACACTGTTGAGGACACTTTTTTAGTGGTCCTAAAGATCGCAAAATGTGTATTAATACTTTTGCAAACCACTACATGTTCTCCTCTCTGCATGACTGCCCTTTAATATTATATAACACGATTCAAACTCTGCCAAAAGCCTGTGTTTTTGTTCTCGATGTTCTAATACAGCTTCCTGATAAAGTCTTTGGTGTAGACTTTCTCTCCAGCTTGTGGCAGCAAATAATAGAGTATAAAACATGCTGTTTCAGTGGCACAGTGTATAATCAAGCAGAGACCCAGCTCTTATATAGCTGTTTTGAGAAGAGAAGGACACTTTGAAGGAAAGACTCCAAACATGCATTACACTTTCACTGCAGGAGTCAAGCGCGGAGACATTTTGCCGTAAACAAAAGCTGATCAAACATGAGCAGGAGGCCACAGAAGCAGAGGAGGTTGCAAATCATTGTCAATTTGCATGAAGTGAATGTTTAGTGAGGAAAACATTTGACTGAATGCTTTAGGAAGAGCATAGTTTTGAACAGATACAGTATGTGATTTTTCAGTGACAACTAAAGCATATTACACAATGTACCTTCATCTGTAGAGCAAGACATATGTAAATCCTACTGACAGCAAAAAAGTGTAGTCAATGATTGTAGAGATTAACAAATACATCTCTCTCATCGTGGAAATCCAATGAAAAATGCTGCAAAAAAGATAAGGCTTATAAGAGAGGAAAAGGTAAGACATTTTTGGTTAAAGGCACGCTCTGTCAAAAAAGATCAAATCTATCAGCGCTATCATGTATAACTAACAAATCTGACTTCAAAATGATGCAAAAACTACAATGTATATTTAAGCATTAATAACCAGATTAATTACACTTAGAATTGAGTTTGCAGTCTTTTGATGTTTGCAGTTTTCCCACTAAAACGCTTGTATATTTAATGTCTGTTTGCTCAGTTGAGTAAATAGAAGATATTGTTATGCCACAGAAGCAAAAGCAATTTCTCTTTTGTTAGTCTGTTTGCTACTTCTTCCATCAAACCAACAATTGAGTAAGATCGTAAAGAATATGCTTTGTGGGTGAGATTTTTGCTTCTCTCAAATTAACTCTAATTTAGACTTTACCTCAAATGGTTTGGTGGTATGTAGGTCATATCAACAGCTACAGTCTCATTCAAACACGAGATTAAACTTTTATCAACTTGTTTGAACTGAAAGCATTGTGGAGGTTTGTGCTCAGAGGCATGGAGGAGACGCGGACACGCCATTTGTCCAAACACGTTGGAAGTCGCCAAGTTGGGAATGAGAGAGCAAATATGTGTAGAACCGTGTCAATTCTTGACAGAAAAAAAATATGTAAATTTTTGCTCTGAATAACATACTGTACAGCACAAGTAGTGTTGGTGAGTTAGGAAAAACATTGAATTGCAATTATTCAGTAATTAATGTGCGAGTCTTATAATGTATGTGACTATAGTGCAATCACTGAAGATAACTTTTCTGGGGTCTGTTTCCTGCTTTTTTTTCCACAAGTATGTTATGTCTTTGCTTGGAATGTAATCAGATCAGTATATATTCTTAACTTAGCCAAAGTAAGTCCCGTGTTTGTCACCAATATAGAGGGAAAATGTAATTGCCATACTGTGAAACTTTGCAGGCAAAATTCAGGAAAATTGTTTAGTGGACTACATATACACACACTTCATGTCAACATTTGTTTTTTATGACAAAGAAAGGAATTTTAAAAATGTCACAACAACATATAATTTCATCGCTATCCAATTGAATTACACTGTTCCATCTCCATATTTCCGAGTGAATATCTTTACATGTGTTAAAAAAAACAGACTAGACAACTACAAAAATAGTCATTAGAAAATGCCCTAAACTTTATGTAACTCATTTCTGTTACATTAAACCTGCATTTAATGAGAATGTATTATTCTGTCATACAAATCCATTGACAAACACAACAATACGCAGAGAACACACATTATCAGTATTATCCAGATTCCTCCTTAAGTGTTTGCTACATGTCTTGGCCAGAGTAGCTTGAATGAGATACAGATGAGCGGGCGGACTGCTCCTCCCCTGACACTGTCCTGAAAAGATTATATTTACCTGTAAAGAGGTATAATGTATTTACCGGTCAACATTCTGAGCTTTATTTAGCCCACGGGTGACTTTACACAGACATTAGCACACAGCAGTCAGGTGGGAAAGAAAAACATGTTGTAAGGCATTGTTTCTTCATTACTGACAATTTTTTCGATTAAAAAAAGGTTCTGTTTCTGTTCATTGTACAAGGGCAGCATATAACGATTTAACAGATAATAAAAAAGACATAGCAAACATGTATCCTGTTTAAAAAGGTGAAAGAATCGCTACAATAAAATGGGGCCAAATTCGGTAAAGGTGAGCAAAGGTCTTTTATGGTACAAACCATTTGAAAAGAAAATTATATGTTGTACTTTCTACATGTTTCAGAATCTTTAGGTTGTCTCTTTCCCCAGACACCAAACGCTTCACTTCCATTTTAGGACGTCATAGATTCTAATCCACGAAGTCCACAACAGAATTTAAACAAAGTTGTAGATAAATATGTAGAAAATATGTAGAACTTTGGTCATAGAATTAAATTGAGATGATGAATTGTATTAAAAATATGTAAAAACGTGATTTCACAATGTGAGATCATAAGTGATACTGAGAACAGCCAGTTCCAGACACGTATGAATGTTTTCTTTTGACAAGGAGGCTTATCATTCTTGGCAAGAAGGCAGCAACTTATGGTATTGATATTCAAAATTTTAGACCTCTGCTGGAAGAGACAGGCTTATTGAGCCTGGATTTGACATTATGTACTAAAAATCCATTGCCAGACTTTACTGTAAGGAATGCACCAATCTTTTTTCAATACTGATCTCAATCGGCTTGCAATATCTAGCAGTGAAGGGACTGGAAATTCTATTTTTTTCCCCCATTAAAATCACAGCTAACAAAAAATATCTACCCTGTACATATGCAACATTTATTTTAGACAACTCAGTGATTATTTGTTTAATTTATTCACAAATACAGGTTATGGTGAGCAAAGGCTGCTGGACAGAGATAACATGACAATATTATAACAATGATTTGTTTAATGATTTGGTTTGTGTTTTAGAGACTGATAAATGCTAAGATGACAATTATTTGAGCTCTAGTTTCTAAAAGCTATAACAGAGATGGTATAACCATGAGTTCTAAAATAGCCTCTACAATCTTCTCAATGATAGGTGCATTCAGCATCTGTGGACCATCACGGTTACCACAGATTAGAGTGAGTGAATGCAGCCAGCCTGAACTCATTCTTTAAAATGTTTACAGAGAGTTACCCATTTCAGGCAAATATTAACATTAGCGCAATACATTTGTTTACACAAAAAGACAGCAGGAGTGAACAAGTGAACTGCAAACAAAGCTAACAGCTGCATTTGGCTAACAACTGGAACCAATACAAAAATGTAGGAGAAATCTCTTGTGGGCTCCTTTTTTGGGAGAAATACATTTGTTTTCTTGTTTGTTCATTTGTTTACTTCTAACCTGCATGTACACTACAAAGCCATTCAACGTGAAAACAAAAACAGAAAGTCTGCTATATTTATTTTAGAGCCGGTATGGAGGACAGAGATTCATAAACCTCGAACCATTAACATTTCCAAACTTTCATGGAGAACATTTAACACCGGGTTGATTTTTTACCATTAAGTGGGAGCTGGACCCAGCTTCTACTGTGTGCCATGGTGGCTCTGTTGGGACCTGCTTTTCTGTGTTATAAAAAAAGGTGTGTCAATATAATTTAATTGCCATGAAAGTGAAAACACTACATGAGCAAAGCTTTTAAAAGTGTGTCAAACTATTAAATCACACAAGAAGCCTCGATAATGAAGAACTCCAGTGTAATTTGCCATGCACTTTACGTCTTTATACGTTTGTACCTATAAAGACTGGGTATGATTATTGAGGGCTTCTTGGTGGAGAGCACAAATGAAGTGAAAAAATATATAGTTGACATTGTTAGAAAAGGTTTCCGTTGATTGCATTAGTCAACTTTCAGCTCGACTGTAAAAATAAAACAATCACCATATTCATCATTTTAAGCTTGGTCGAGTGCGGTTAAAATTCAAACACAAACTGAATGGTTGAATGTTCCAAAGAGAATGGTTTTAGAGGACTGTTATTGCCCTGTGATTATCCAGGGAGTAGCCTGCCCTATACTATACCCCTCCTCATGCCCAAAACCAAAAGGAGATGGCTTCAGGCTATGAATGAATGAATGACCCACAGCTGAATAAATGAATGCGTTGGCTAAAGAAAAGAGCATTCACCAGACTGTCTGTTGTGAGACTATTGTGTTATGTTCAGTAATAGACACAATATATGAGATCACTAGTTGTTGAGATAGACTTTATTTAATTATTTTTTTCCGTACAGACAAGTTACAATTGTATGACATAAATACATAGATATACTTTTTTCGCTTATAGAGCCCAGACTTGAAATGGAGTGAAAAGAAGCAAGACTTGTGAACTCCCACCCCATTTACACTATACATTCACTGTGGCTGCCTGGTCAGTCTCTCACACCTATTTCAACAACAACAACAATTATACATAATATTGAATCATATCATTACCGTCTATCTTCATTTTTGTCACTATCATCATTTTTATGTTCTGCACAGTCTTGAATTTTGTATCACCATTATTATTATTATTCTACCAGGTACAGTCACATTTATTACCTCCTATGTGACAAAATAAATCACAGTAGCCAACTTGCACCAGCAGACTTTCACTTCATAAGCATGCTCTTTGCGTCCTATTTTCACGTGAATAGGCATAAACGCACTCAAAATCATGCAAAAAAAATAGGTCTCTGCTTTGCTCAAAACAGGCTGATGAATGTGTTGAATAGCTTATAGACTTTCTCACTTCTATCTCCCCTCTGCTGCTGCTGCTGCTGCTGCTGCTGCTGCTGCTGCTGCTGCTGCTGCTGCTGCTGCTGCATGTTTGAGACGTGACGTTACTCCCAGTGTATCTTCTAGAAAAGTCCAACATTTGGCATTCCCACTTTTCCACTTTTTGGGCTCCACAAAAAAACAATCAACGCATTAACAAAACTGCCATGTACTTTGAATACGATTTTTTTTCCCCCCCACAACAATGGTGCCTTTAAAGCTGTTCTTTAAAGCGGGAGACTTCTGAAACTTTTCCCTGATTACTCTCGGGAAGACTGATCTCCAAGAACATGTTAGCACGAAACAAATCTAGCATAAAACAAATACGTGTTTTATTGACAAAAATCGTCATGTCAAGCGTGTGTGTTGTGCATCAGACGTGCAAAAATGCTTGGGGAATACCGTTATGCTCTTCAAATACCTAATGCCTAATGACAACGTACGTGATGATTTTGACGCACGCTAACGACGTAACAAATGCTGTCGCGGTGAATGGAGAAAGGGTCCGAGCTATACTTGTGTTAAATCTGGTCTTACCTTTATATGTCTGGTGGTGGTGGGAGATCGCGGGGACAGAGTGGAATCTTGCAGAGGACCGACTGGATCCCCGGGGTTATGAATAGCGCTCTGACTTGTATTTTATCGCTGCCACGTCCTGGGGCCAGGAGCGGAGCATGTACCGTAATGATCGCCCCAAACGCGCAAACGAATTCCTGGTGTAGTTGATTATGACAGGTCCTATCTGATGGTCGCTTTTTATTTTTTTTCTTCACATTTTTGACCATAACAGCAATTTACATGAGCTTTTTTATTTCGATTTTGTGTTCCAGAATGTGAAAGTATTATTAAATCACAACAGTATCTCGGAAACTGTTCAATTTGCCAGCACAGATCAGAGACTCAAACAGTTCAATAGATAATATATAGTAATACAAAAAAAAAGGCAAAGTTTGTATAAGATTCAAATTAATTTTATTTGCCATTTGCAGTAAAACCACCTCGGAATACATGTGAAAAAGTGTTTTCCACTGTTACAAAAGCATAATTTACTCATTTGGGAAAACATGGTCAAATACTCACATCTCTGCCTCACCTATAAAATAATACATGGTTTGTCATCACCCCCACTCGCACAGTTCATTCACATCAGTACAGCAGAACTCAGGAGAACCAGAGCAGCAGCAAGAGGCGACGTTATCATCCCTCTGAGAAAAAGCCTCTTTGGTCAATGCACATTTTCTGTCAACGCTGCCCATGAATTGAATAGCACCCCCACAACAATTAGTAACATCACAACATAACACATTCAAAACACAGGTAAAGAAATGGCTCATAGAAAATCAAAACTGCATTGATTTTCTGCAAATCAGCACTGAATCTTCACCTCTCGCTGCGCCCTGCTATTGTTCTTTGTCTGTGAGTCTGACTTGTCTGTATTGTTGTTGAGTTTGTAACAGTTGTGTGTTCATGTCTATATGTTTGATTTGTGTTATTGAGGATATTGTTTGTACATATTTTACTGTGTTATGTTTTGATTTTGTTATGTGTAATTGTATTCCCTTCAGGAGGACACATAACAACTGTCCAGGGACTACAGATAGAAAATAGCCCATAGGATAATTCTGGCATATTTATATGTATAATGTATATTAATATGCACTGTCCCTTTAGTAAATAAATATATAAATAAATAAAATAAGTACCCCAGTGTGCACCAGACAAATATATAAAATGAATCAAGCTAAAAAGTACAAAACACAATTGTCACTGCATGACACCAATCAATGTATAGGATCTTAAAATAAATTCAAGAGAGAGGAGTTAATTTTTTTCTTATTTCATAATTAAAAACTAATGATCATTTCACCTGAGAATTTGTCAAAACTCATTTAGGGGTGATTGTGTTTTATGTTTAAAGGGTAGGACATTGCTCTAAGCGTAACAGTTTGTTCAATAACAAAATATCTCAAAAATGTCTCCCATGCCATATTACAGGTGCCCACTGATATACCACGTCACACAATTATGCGATTTGGGCTTGAATTGGTGATTAGGAACAATAAAATAAACAAGTAAGATATCCTTTGATTCAAGCAATATTCCAAATAGAACTGATTATGGGTCACAAAATATAAACAAAAAAATACATTTAAAAACCATGTCTGTGGCGAGAATTTAGAACTAGAAAGAATAATTAAGGCAGGAAAACACCCATTGATAATTTAATATCCTGAGAAGCTTTAACATAGTTTAAAAAGCATATGTCTTCGTGGACAATTTTAAGAAATTTCATGAAGATTTTTTGTTATGCATGCATTTACCTAACTCTCACAACTTGTTCGCACCTTGAACCAAAGCACACTCCTAGTTTGTGACTTCTTGTTAATTATAATGGGAATAAAAATAATTCTGATTCTGATGAAGTCGTGCAACATATTTATATGCGCTCTTTGACCGTAGCTACGGTAATAAAATGCGTGCAGCTCGTCACGTTTGCAGTGGGGTCTGGATTCAGAATCTGATGTGTTGAACATATGAATGAGGAGAACATGTAGAGAAAACATCTGCAGTTGCTCTGGTACTGACGCAGCTGCTTTTTGAACTGACTTGTGTTTTTATTTAGTTGTTTTAAGGGGGCAATACTGCGATCTGGTGGCAAAGGTACTCGGGGGCCAATTACTGTAATCTGGACGCAAAGGGACTCGACATTTAGGACAGTGTATTTATAACAAGGTAATGAGGAATAATACTTCCTTGCATTATTGACTACGGCTTGCCCCATTGATAATTATTGATATATTGATATGGATCTTGTATCATAGCCAATTAAACATCAGTATTGGTGACGTCTAGGTCTTCTCTTAAATCTGAGAATAGTTTAGATTTGCATGCAGCATTTCTGAATTAGATCAAATCCATTTACAGACAGAACAATCGGCAAAAGGACTTCGTAGCCTACATCATCACTATTCTGGGTATAGGCTTCAAGCAAATAATAACGTGTAACAATGTTAACAGTTATACAATGAATCATATTAATTTAATCCAATCTAAAAAAAAACAACAGATTAACCATTGTTGACATGAATTTGGCAAGAACAAAAACACACATTCTCTTTTTCAGATTCAATGTGATGTTACTTAGAGAAACATCGTCATTAGGCCAAATTGTCCACTAGGTGTCAGTGTCACTCAGTAAACAATAATGCACAAGAGCACCGCAAACATATTTTGTAGATGTGCCTTGAATCCCGTAGAGGTCAGCAAATATCAAGATCAAGTTATGAGGCCGTGCACGAGAGTGAATTAGAGATTAGAAATTATAGTTATGAGTGAAAGCTCAAGTTATCAGTTGCTGGCAATTCGTGTTGTGCTACAAGTCACTTTGTCTGCTATTCCATGAAATTCCATTGTTAAATGCAGCGAAGCTTTTGCAAAGAAAACTTAATTTGTGCTGAATTATTAAAAGCTGGGGAATGTTTATTATTATTATTATTATTATTATTATTATTATTTCTTATAATTTTATTTACTTATCTGAACTTTGAACATCAACCAATTTTGGGGACCTTGGGCTGTCTTAAAATAAAGATGTCTTGCTTTCTTTCTAATTATACATTACTTTGTCCGGACTACAATTTACAATTTTGTGAACAAATCAGACCGCATATATGTTGTCCTCTCTTTGTCACTTTTTTAAAGACGTAACAGAGGCCAACAGATACAGTATATGTATGTGAAAACTACTGATCGAACCAAAATGTTTTAAGAACGAATAACTAATCAAATTGACTTTATTTGAATTTGAAAGTTAGGGATCCCAGCTTTATGAATGATTTAGGTCTCTTTCCCCCCAATGTCTATTTGCACCTCTGTCCTAAACATGCAGTAATGTCTTCACACCTAAAGAACACCAAAAGTATTGACTATAGGCAAGATTTATTGCTTTCTCAGCTGAATGTGTGGTATGTCTCACGCACACAGAGGTTAATAAGAGAGCAGCGGACCTGTGCAAGGACAAGGGTGAGGAATGTGTTGGGTTTTATGGCGTTGCTTTGTCAAAAATGATGTTAGCTCCTCACAATGCGCTCATCCGAAGAAAACAAGTCAATCAAGCCTTTTAACTTTTTCACAGTTTGCATATTCTTCAGTATGTTGTCGGAGAAATATATGAAATTGTGCACCTTTAGAGATTATAAATGTAACGTCATAACCTATTGTCAAAGAAGGCTGCGTTCTATTTTCAAATTGTAACATAATTTTAGACAACCTGAGTCATGTGCAGTTTACGAAAGGCGGCTTAGGAATTTATATGAACTGGAGGATTTTTGCCCAGAATAATTTACAAGTTTACCATCAGAGAGGTCAGAGGGCCTACTCCACAACTTCCACAAAAGCCTCTAAGTAATGTAGCTATAGATGTTAATGGTCCAGTATGCAACAATTTGTGTGAGAAAAGTGTATATTTTTGCATGCTTTACATTATAGTGACCCAATGAGTGTATGAGTGGTCGCCATGGCACCTTTACTTATAATCACTGTGATCTCTCGGATGCTGTGGGATCAAGTGTTTGGAACGTTTTCTTTGCCGATTGATCTCGCTCCTGACAACCTACAAAATGTATCCTGGAGCACTGCAGACACAACCCTGATCAACAATTATGGCACCATGCTGACCACCCAGAGAGCCACTGGGTCACCGCAACGTCAAAATATGCAAAAATAAACCTTTTTTCCACATTATCAGTTGCATAATGTACCTTTAAAGGGGCAATACAAGCAATTGAGAGATGAGAATATGTAAGCTTCTATTCAGGGCCATTTGAGCAGTTATTTTAGGCATAAAAGATTAAAAAACATGTTTATCAATTGTTTAATTTTTGTACATCCCGATTTGTGTGAAGGCAATTTAAAGTGCTTCACAAGAGCAGTTTAAAAACACACATCAAAATGCATAAAGTCAATTAAATACGCATACAATCAATTAGTTTTATTTGACAAGGAATAGCTTCAAACAACAACTAACAATTAGAGAAAAGTGCGTTATCATTCATAATCTCAAAATATGTAAACAAGAAAAATGCTAAAAATGTCTGCCTGGGCGGGTAAACTTTCACTCATAAAACTATCTCAGCTGCAAGATGATGTGTCATTGCAAAAAATGTGTGAAAGCTTACAATTTTATTGTATATAATTATCGGCAAGACCTGTTTATGCTGTTAAAGAAAAACCTTGAAATTAATATTATTGAGTGACTTTCAGCATTTATCTCCCTGTCAAAGCGGGTATAGAGGTGCATGAGAAAGGTCTTGGAAAGCGGGGAAGCAGGACACATAATGATTGAACACAAACGTTGCAGATCTAAAGTTTCACTGGTTTTAATCAAAGCTGTTGGCTCTGACTGTGACTTTGCCCTGCACATCATTTAACATGCCCTAATGATAAACAAAGAGACAGCGAAGGGCCGCATAAGGCAACGGCCAGTTAGATTTCAGCTTCATTTCAGCATATTTCAGCAACAGGATGATTGATTGTCAAGCTGTTTTAGACCATTATTGAATTTACAATGAACAAAACAAAAATCTACTGTATGATCTATAGCTGCTTGGAATCAGCCGTCCATGGCATCAAGGCAAACTAATGATAGATATATAAAAAAAATGAAAAAATAAAACA